TTGCAGACTGTCTTGTTACTTTTAAATTAGAGATGATTAAATAGCCATAGTACTGGCTGCTGTGAGGATAATGTTTGTGTTCTCTCTCTGCTCAGATTTCAGATCCAGTAGCTGGGCTAAAATGCAGTTGAACTTAGTCCTCATCAACTGAATGTTTGCTGCAGGCAAGTTGTTTTCAGATAATAATTTAAATTTAGCATTTTTGACCTTCATTTGATGCTTTGTACAGTCTGTTTATGATGCCTTTGTGCAGTAGGAGTGAGCATTCAGAATGAGCTGTTTGGGTTGAATTTTACTGAGATGCTCTTTTTTGTCACCAAGGGACGAATGATCTTTTTTGTCGTTCTTTGTTATTAAAGATGTAAGTGGCTTTATTCTTGTGATTGTGTGTATGTGCAGTATACTGTCAGGTTTTAGTTAGAGTACATAAATGCTGGAGCTGAATTTGCTGTTTTGCAGGTTGGCAGTCACATAATCCCAAAGATCTTTATCAAGCAATGTGGTCGTGTTTGTACCGGTAATAACAAGCATAGTAAATAGACCAGGCAGGATGCATGCAACATCAGCTTGAGGGAACATTCCTAAAAGTCTTCTGTAAATGGTAGTATAGACATTTCTAGAGTTAGTAACATTGAAAGCTTTTGCTCTTCTGATCTAGTGCCATCTAACTCTGAAAAAAATCCAATCTGAATCATAATGCTGGCGGTTGTTAATGACCTGTGTATCTGAAAACTCATGGTGTTGTAATTTGAGTGTGCCCAAATCGGGACTTGGAAATAGCAAGAAGGTCTTAAATATCTTGGATAAATAGGACCTTAGAGGACTTTATGCAGGAAATGGTGAGACACCTTCTTGTCTTGCAGACTTCTTTTACAGGGGCTTTATCTGTTCTTTATATATCATAGCTAGACTTAGAATATGTGTAGCTATGATGTGGAGGAAAAGATGGCCATGCTGTAAGTGATGTAAGTTAGCTGCTTAGGCAGTAAGCTGTTAGCAGAGGCAGGACGTGAGGGCTCAGTAACATGGCGGTGGTTATAAATTCTTACACAAGTGTAACTAAGTAGCACTTTTGTGGAAAGTGAGCTGTCTTACTGGACACACAAACCTAACAGTGGCTCTGTCACTGGATCTATTAGCATCTTCCTGTATTTTGAACCTGTGGTGAGAGATGTACTGCATGTGTTCACTTTAAGTCTTTTCATAGCTGCAGAGAAGTAGGGCTGTATTTCAATAATCTATAATGACCAAAGCACCACTATGGAACCTCTACCTCCAAAAAAGTATGTTTAGAGAGCTACAAGATAGAAGTAGCCATTTAAAAGAGGGTCTGTCTCATTGGGAGTGATTGAGTACTGTCTTGAAATTTGTGGAGTCTGAGGTTGGGGTAGAAAAGATGGATAAGGGGAAAAGAAAATTGCAAATGCTGGGGAGGACAGAGAATTAGAACAGATTAGAGGAGAAGAGAGGATAATGGGTTAAATAGTTTTGGATTGCCTGTGTGATGCATCATAGAACTCTGCATGCAACTCCAGAGTCTTATATCACTGATCTTTGTTTTTTCTTGTGAGCATTCATGAAGAAAGCCATAATCTCCCCTATTGTTGTTTACTATCTTAAATAGTGGAGACTGATCTGAAGTTTCTGATTCTATTCTTGGCATCCTACTGCTGTACTGCTGACAGAATTTGCCATGTGATAGCTAGTTGTGTAATATCGGTTTCTTTAAATTCTTAAATAAAATGCAAAGTCTACGTTGAAACAACCTCTAAGTTGTAAAGTCAAACAACTTGTAAGTTCCAGAATTGAGCTTGCCTCTGCTTTTCTAATTAAGTTCTCTTGCTGCACCTTATGATACCATCTTTAATTACACAATCACATTATTTTTTCCAAAGCTGCTTGCTTCACTTCATGCGCAGGACAGATCTGCTCAAAGGGTGAATCAAGGCTGTGTAATGAAGGACACCTTTTGCCTGGAGAAGTTTGAACTTTTACAGAAATGGAAGGATTTCTGTTTGAAGGAGAGGGCTGACAAAGAGGGAGCTGGCAGTAATTGGACAGGTGATCTGGAAGAATAGGTTAGTTAAATATTCCTTTGGATTATTAGGTCTGGTGTTAGGCGAACTACTTAAAGCAGTTTTATTTTAAATGGTCTCTGAGCATTCATCTTGTTTTCTGAGTGTTTTTTGGCAGAAATGTTGAGCTCTCAGACCTGCAAGCACAATCACCAGAAGCTGTGCATTGAACATACAGTGGTCCCTATGGTTGTTAGTAATGTTAAAAAAAACAGATCCTAGGCCTTTGGAGTTGTGTTCTCAAATGCTTGCTACTCTGATCCTTGTTTGAACATGTATATACATGTAACATGCATATAGAACATGTAATATATAGGTGCAGGGAAATAGAATCATAGAATAGTTAGGGTTGGAAAGGAGCTTAAGATCATCTAGTTCCACCCCCCTGCCGTGTGCAGGGACACCTCATACTAAACCACATCACCCAAGGCTCTGTCCAACCAGGTCTTGAACACCGCTAGGGATGGAGCATACACAACTTCCCTGGGCAACCCATTCCAGTGCCTCACCACCCTTACAGTAAACAATTTCTTCATTATATCCAATCTAAACTTCCCCTGTTGAAGTTTCAACCCATTACCCCTTGTCCTGTCACTACAGTCCCTAATGAAGAGTCCCTCCCCAGCATCCTTATAGCCACGCTCCAGATACTGGAAGGCTGCTATGAGGTCTCCACACAGCCTTCTCTTCTCCAGGCTGAACAGCCCCAACTTTCTCAGCCTATCTTCTTACAGGAGGTGCTCCAGTCCCCTGGTCATCCTCGTGGCCCTTCTCTGGACTTGTTCCAACAGTTCCATGTCCTTTTTATGTTGAGGACAGCAGAACTGCACACAATACTGCAGGTGAGGTCTCACAAGAGCAGAGTAGAGGGCCAGGATCACCTCCTTCAACCTGCTGGTCACGCTCCTTTTGATGCAGCCCAGGATACGGCTGGCTTTCTGGGCTGCGAGTGCACACTGCAGCTGCCTCATGTTCATTTTCTCCTCGACCAACACCCCGAAGTCCTTCTCCACAGGGCTGCTCTGAATCTCTCCTTTGCCCAACCTGTAGCTGTGCCTGGGATTGCTCTGACCCAGGTGTAGGACCTTGCACTTGTTATGGTTAAACTTCATGAGGTTGGCATCAGCCCACCTCACAAGTGTGTCAAGGTCCCTCTGGATGGCATTCCTGCCCTCCAGGGTATCAACCAAACCACACAGCTTGGTGTCATTGACAGGCTTGCTGAATGCACACTCAATCCCACTGTCCATGTCAGCGACGAAGATGTTGAACAAGTCCGATCCCAACACCGATCCTTGAGGAACACCACCATTACTGGTCTCCAGCTGGATGTTGGGCCATTGACCACAACTCCTTGTGTGTGGCCATCCAGCCAGTTCTTTATCCACCGAGTGGTCCGTCTATCAAATTGATATCTCTCCAATTTAGAGACAGGGATGTCATGTGGGACAGTGTCGAACGCTTTGCACAAGAATGTAGAACCATCTTTTGCTTTTTGCTTGTGTTAGAAATATTAGAGTTGTACCCTGTACATTTGTGTACATTTTGAAAACGGTGAATGTTTGCTTCTGCTTTTAGGACAGGCTGTAGGTTTTCCTGTGCTAACAGTTTCAAGATTATAAGCACATGCAGGAAGCAGAGTTCTGCAGAGAAAAGAATTTTGTCTTTTAAGATACATGGGGAGAAATACATGTTACACCGTTAAAGAATTGCTACATAGGCTGTGGCAACATAGAGTAAAAAATTTCCTCATGTGTTTCACTAACCTGATGCATCCCAGAGGTCCAGGGGCCCTGGGATCTTGATGAAGACTGGTGAAAATGAGAGCATCAAAATGCAGTCTGTTATGGAAATCAAAACCTGCTAGGACTTACATGAACTGTAGGAACTTGCAGTGCATTTGTTGTATTCCTAGAGAATTTGCACATTGGTGTTGTGGAAATTATGTTTTGGCTGGAGTTTTGGGGGGGTTCTTTGTTTATTGTTTGGGGGGTTTTTTTGGGCGTTTTGTTTTGTTTATGCTATGGCCCAAAACAGAATTCAGTTAAAGCCTAATTGGTTTGTAAAAAGGAGACTCAAAATGTAAAGCATATGGAGGGGGAAAGAAAGGGGGGAGGGACACAACAACTGTCTGACATAGATATAGGTGCTTGAGGGGATAATATGTTCTCTTAAGCCTCTCAAATATCTGGAAGATATCTGTCTTTGTTTCATTTTAACTTTCCCCTGCAGGTGTGCAAGTACTTTGATACTTGGATATCTAAGATATTAAATAATGGATTAAAAGAACATTTCAATGTTTGGTCTTATTCTCAGAGTCCTTTAATATGACATCTCAATTTATTTGGCTTTGGATACATGAAGGTTTTATCTTTTCTGTTGTTTGTAGTTACTTTGGTATTGATACAGATACATTCTTCTAGTTGCATATGTTGTTCCACAGATATTTTCAATTGTTTATGATATGATTTTGGCCAGAAAACTTTAAGTATTTGTAACTATATTAATGGAAATGTTGTTTTTAAAAAATAGGGAAACAACCTGTACTTTTTTTTTTTCACCTGTATAGTCTATACAACTAATTACGAAGAAGCTGTGAAGAGACATGTCAGACGGCAAAAATGTCATAATGAAGAATTGAAAATGTAGTGACATATGCATAAAAGGCTCACTGCATGAGCTTCTGTTATGTTTATTTCAGTAGCATCTTAATTCTGTTGCTGATCTCAAATGTTTGAGCATTAGAAACTATTATCATGAGGAAAAAATTGAGAAGATGGTCCCATATAATATGCTTTAAAAAGTTCTATCCTCAGACTGAATTAAAAGAAAAAAAGGTTTTATTGTTTTAAGTATATTCTCTTCTGTTATACACTGCTATTTGATGTGCATAAGTATATGTGTTTTGTTTTGTTTTTTTAACAGGTTTCTGTGGATACCAAAGCTCAATTCACAATGCCAATCTTATCAGGATGCTTGAACATCTGCAGCTAATTACAGGACTTTAAAAAGAAAATCAGCATGGCCTAGTTGGTTTCACCTTTGGAAAACTTATAATGTCCTCTGGAACCAGTATCAGCAAAAATCGCCAGGCTCCGAGCCTGCAGGGTGTTGACCCAGAAACATGCATGATAGTGTTTAGAACTCACTGGGCACAGGTAATGTTAATTAGTTTTATTGATTTGAAGTAGGCTGCATTAAGAGGAATTTGTTTCATTCTTTCTTTGGAATAATCCTGAATTGCAAAGGCACAAATGCCCTTAATGCAGAGTGTAGTAGATGACACTGAAACCTTCTTAAAACACAAAGGTAATTGACCTTTCAAGGTATGGTTAGGCTTTACTAATCACAGTTTGAATTTCAGATTTACATCTAAATGGGAAGTGGTAGGACATGGTAATTTCTCATGGAAGGCCTAGATCTTCTTACTGGGTTTTCTAGTGATTCACAGTGACTTGTACCTTGTTGCAAACCTTTGTGCTTCCTTATGCTGCAGAGAGCTTGCTTAGCTTTTACGAAATATATTTGATGCATGGTGCAAAGCTGTACACAGTGTTGTTTGTTATGGATAAATGTAGATTATGCACTTCAGCATATTCCAGAAATTGTTTGCATGTCATCAGGATTATAATTGCTTTTAGGCAAAGATGTTTTGCTCTGAGCACCACAATACAAGGTCTTATTTGCCGCAGTAATATGAATAACTAACGGTTTATGTAAAATTGATTTCTGTGCTGCTGCTTTTGCTGTTTTTCGGCCATCCTAAGAACAAGCTAGATGAGTGGTGGTGTTTCTGAGATGTTTCCAGAGTCAGAGGAGCCATCCTTCAAGACTCACCTTTTCTCACTTAACTATAGTGATACCATCATGTTAGGGGAGTTGCTAGGTTTCTTTGTGGTTTGTGGCAATTATCCTTCACAAACAGGCTAAAAAAGTAGCTGTTTCACAGACAGCAAGCTTCATCAATTGTGTGCAGAACAGAATTTAATCCAGTGGTGTCAATTCTGGGATGACAATTGTTACTCAATCCTAAATCCATATTGAATGTTGCAAGTGTATGTGGGTATCGGTGACCATTTGGTATCATATGTTCAGTTCTGAGCTTGTCATTACAGGAGAGATACTGAATTGCTGGGACCAGGTCCAGAGAAGGGCAACGAAGCTAGTGAAGAGCCTGGAGCACCAGTCTGATGAGGAACGGCTGAGGGACCTGGGGTTGTTTAGTCTGGAAAAGAGGAGGTTCAGAGGTGGCCTTATTGCTCTCTACAACTGTCTGAAAAGAGGAAGGAGGGAGGAGGTGGCTGATCTCTTCTCCCAAGTAACAAGTGATAGGACAAGAGATAATGGCCTCAAGCTGTGCCAGGGGAGGTTTAGAATGGATATTAGGAAAAATTTCTTCACCACAAAGGTTGTCAGGCATTGGAAGAGGATTGCCCAGGGGAGTCACTGTCGTCACTGTCCCTGGAATTGTTCAAAAGCAGTGTAGATGAGGCCTTTAGTGATACGGTTTAGTGGTGGACTTGGCAGTCCTGAGGTAAAGGTTGGACTTGATGATCTTAAAGGTCTTTTCCAAGCTAGTGGATTCTATGGCTCTATAAAAGATGTGGCCAGGAAAGATTAGCTTTGTGGCCTTCTGCTGCTTTTTTACTACTGCAGATCATCGCATGATATTGACACTCTTGACCACAGCTACTCTGGCTGAAGAGCAGGCCTTTTGATTTCAGTCCTCTGTGACAAAGAAACTTATTCCAAACATCACTGAAACTCAGTTTCTGAAGGCTGAGGGAATTTAATTTATCCATACTTCAGAGAAGCCCAAGTTTTCAGCAATAAGACAAGTGGCAAACTTAGGTATTATTAATATTAAAATATTAAATATATAAATTATATATTCTAACGTAAAATATTTTCTAAGTGAACAAAAGCATTGTTTTGGCCTCATGTATGCCAAATGTGATAATCTCTGATATTAAATTTAGAAAGTTTGACAGACAAAAACTAAAAGCATAAAGAATTTGCACATTTTAAGTAATTTTAAGTAAGGATTCCCCCCCCCCCCCCCCCTTCCCTTATGGGGTAAGTGAATATTTTTTTTAAAAGCACTTAAATAACTGATGTGCCTTTGTTTCCCTTTAGGTTGTGAAGATTTTAGAGAAGCATGATCCTTTGAAAAACACTCAGGCAAAGTATGGGGCAATTTCACCTGATGAGGCCAGCACTGTTCAGAACTATGTGGAGCACATGCTTTTCTTGTTAATTGAGGAGCAAGCAAACGATGCCTCAATGGGGCCTATTCTGGAGTTTGTGGTCTCAGAAAACATCATGGAGAAGCTTTTTCTTTGGAGCCTCCGGCGAGAGTTCACGGATGAGACAAAAATCGAGCAGCTCAAAATGTATGAAATGCTAGTAACCCAGTCTCATCAGCCTTTGCTGCATCACAAGCCCATCTTGAAACCTTTGATGATGTTGCTGAGTTCCTGCTCAGGAACAGCCACTCCAACAGTGGAAACAGAGTTGGTTGTCCTCTTGAACCAGCTCTGCTCTATAATAGCCAAAGATCCCTCCATTTTAGAGCTGTTTTTTCACACCAGCGAGGACCATGGAGCTGCCAATTTCCTTATATTTTCCCTGCTGATTCCCTTCATCCACCGAGAAGGAACAGTAGGCCAACAGGCCCGTGACGCACTGCTTTTCATAATGTCTCTGTCTGCAGAAAACAACGTTGTTGCAAACCACATAGCAGAAAACACCTACTTTTGCCCAGTAAGTTGTTCTTGGTTTACTTGATCTTCTAAACTGTCTTCCCTATACTCTTCTCATCCTTTTCTGTCATTTTTTATGAAGATGTGTTGCAACACATTTGTTTCTGCTAGCAGCTGTTTCACCAATTGTAATGCTGTTTAAGCCAAACACAGTCTTGCTTCTTGTTTCCATACCAGTGTCTTGTGGGTTTGGGTCAGCGCAAGTGTTTTTGCAGTCACACAGTGTATTGAATTGGGAAACTAATGGAAGTTATAGGAGAACTTGATGGGAGGGAAACCTGTTCTGTCTTACTTTAAGACCCCTATGAGATTCTGGGGGTGAAGGGAGTGAGAAATAGGAACAAGGTGTTCTGAGGCTGTTGTTTCTGGTGGCAGTTCTAGTATAAGCAGGTTGTGCTTGCCACACTATAACATCAGTTCAAAAAATGTGTGAAAATAGTGTATTATAGAAATGTAATATTTTTGCAAGCTAAATCTTTGCAGGCTTGACCTTTCTGACAGGATTGGACATTTCTGTGGCCATCTCAGACAAGCTACCATCTTGCTGTGTTGTACTCTGTTACAACATTTGGTAGTAGTATTGTGTTGTGACATCTGGCAGATCAATCTTACTACAAGAATAGAAAACCTTTGCTGTTAAACAAGTAAATAATATAAATTGATTAACAAAGCTTCCCTACTGCAGTTTCAAAGCTAAAGCAGAATGGGTATGACAACACTTGCTTCTTAATGCCTTATCAGAAAAGTCAGTTTGAGATGGATGGGTTCAGAACCAAATATTCTGTGGGGAAAATAGCTCTGATGTGACAGTTTTTGGACTGAGCCTTTTATCTTCTGTGTGGCTTGCATTCTAGTTTAGTGCATGCCAGAATAACGGAGGGCAGCCTTACAAAAAGCAGAGAGTTTTAGAGCCAAGAATATTAGAATCCCTGCCTTAGGCATTAGTACATGACGGCTATCCCAGCTGTAGGTTTCCATTTTCTCTGAGATTGGGATGCCCTTTGAGCAGTAGGGCAGAGCTGGGTTTGTGGGCTGAATGAGGGCTACAGGTTCTAAAACAAAACTTCTAATTGGTTTCCTTTGTCAGTTGTAAATATTGCATTGATTTTTTTTTTGTGTTGAGAGACTCCAGTTGACCTTGTTTAATAGATGCTGCTGAAGAATATGAATGTGATTCTCAAACTGTCCCTGAGACAGATACCGTTATTAGATCCATGCTGTAACTTCCATAATTACATCTTCCAATTAATTAAAAAGAAAAAAGGCAGCCTTTTTACACTGAAGATAAAAGCCAGCTGCATTAACCTTCCAACAGCAGGGAGCCATGATTGACAAACATTCTAATTAGGAAGGCTTCTTGTCAAAATGAGCCAAAGTCAGACTTCCTGAACAGTAATGAGACTGGCCTAAGTCTATAATAAAACTTCAATGCAATGCCATAGAATTACTTCACTAGCACAACATCTTCTTTTGAATTTGAGTGAGATGAGCTGAAGGAACAGGTTTTTCTCTGGTGGAAGACGCTCTAGGTGTCAGTGGCATTGCTGTATAGCACTCAAATAAGTGCAGATGTGGCCTCAGCTGCTCTGCAAAACAGCAGTCCTGTGCTGATAGGAGTGGCATTTTGGTGACGCTGTGTTGATGCTATCTCTGATTCTGAGGCCAAGGTGATTGGTAGCATATAGGGTTGTCTTTACTATGCCTTAATGCATAGTATAGATGTCTGCTGGGATGGGGTCTGACCATAAATCTCTGCTCCCTCATATACCTGAATCAGTGTTAGATCGGTACCCAAGTGAACCTGAATGCTCTCTTGATACTTTTTTTGAGCTAACTCTGGTTAGCAGCTTTTTAAAACCACGTTGTCTATAGTATTCAGAAAAAAACTATAAAGAAGGAAAGGGGACAGGCTGTAGAAATATACATCACTAAAAATTTTAATGCAGAATGTGTAGACGAACTGTTAGGCAAAGTTTTCTGGTTGTAGAGAGAATTCTGCCATATCATTTTTGTCATGTTTTGACCTGACAGTTTTCTGAATCTGAATAGAAGATGTTGTCTGTTTAGCCATATAATAATAAAACAATGTTTCTAAAGAATTTTGAGCAGGATAGCATCTCAGAGTGTCTCCCTAAACTTTGTAAATACCTCACAGCTTAGGAAAGCAAGTATTAAAGGAGGAGGAGGTATGGCTCTGCAATGTCCTTGAAAAGTTGAGGCTGCACAGAAATAGACTATCAATGTGGGAGGAAAGGAAATTATTACAGGGAAGAAATTGGACATTGGTTATATTATATATATATATTGTATTAGCAATTGATTATATATTAACAACACATTTAATCATATAGTATTTCTGGGATTACAAATCAAATCTCTTCTGTGAGTCAAGAGAAAGTAAATAAATCAAGGAGACTGGTTTGCAGAGAGACTCACAACTCGATGGAGAGAAAGAAACTGCTGGAGATGCTTGTAAATGAGCATGTAGGGTTGACATGACAAATATTGGGAGAAGTTTAAAAGGACACTGCTGTGGGTGAAACTAAAAATAAAACTGATCTTGCCCTTCCAGGATGTGAAATCATTCATTTTCTTCCCTCTCAGTTTTTTTGTGGGTCTGTTTGTTTGTTTGTTTTAAATTGAAGTTTATAATTTTACTGATTAAAACCCTGTAATGTAGTCTATATATGTGCATTGCTTTATATGCCAGTTTATAGAATGTGAAGAGTTCTGTTAGTAATTTGAAATGGTAATCCTGCTTATACCATATACTTCTATGAAATTTTTCATATACTTTTTACCTAGAGAAATGAAATTGCTTCCAGTGGCTACTCTCTGTCTTACTGCTTTAGAAACTGAGCTTCACAGAGACATTTGTGTTGTATTTCATAGCAAAAATAAGAGCTTTTTAAATGTCGCAGATTTTAGCAGCTACATGTCACTTCTTCAGTAACTCAGACAAATGGAAGAATTACTCACTTTAAGACATTGACCGATTCCGAATTCACTGTTCCTCTTAGTGGAGAGTAGTAGGTTTTGTTCAAAGTAGCTTTCTTCTGCTTAGGGACTAAAATTCCCTATGAAGGAAAAATGTGGATAGTGCTCAGCTCTGAAAATCAGATTGCTTACTGAGAAGGTGAGTATGTGTTTGTGAATAACAGTTGCATTTTAAACAATTGAAAATCAAATATGCATTAATTAATGGGTTGCAACACAAAAGAAATTTGAAGTTTGCTCTTCAGTATTTTTTCCTTCCTAGAATTATTGGAAAACTGGGTTTTTAGAGTGTGTGTGAGTTATATATACAGATAGTTCTATAGGCCTAGTAAGATCTTCCTGACTTTCCGTTTTGAGCTTTTCTGCCATTGGAGAGAGAAAAGGAAAAAAAAATATTCTGGAAGAGTCTGATTGTACAGAAAAAACTTTGCTCAACAGGTTTAGCTTCTTAGTTTTTTAACATATCCCCAGCATCTTTCTTTTTGCATCTATGTATACATGTGTATATAAAAAAAGTAGCACAGTGTATTAACGCACTAAATTTTCCACAGTATTTCCCCCCCCACCCTGTCCCCTTTAATGTTTGGCTTAATTATGTATGCCAGAATAAATCCATCTTCAAAATTTAGGAATGGAAACCATTCAGAAAGCCAGTCTTTGCCTGACTGCCTGGGTTAGCAATTATAATTGATTATGCTTGCATGTGATCAAAACCTGATTGCCCTTTCTGTGAACCCTTGGTCTTCGACCGGCACATTGTCAACTGTTTGTTTTCTAATTAGTAAGACATTTGTATTTCATCTGAGCTTTGACTGTCTAGCCCTCTAGATGCCAAGTAGGTTTACGGAGAAAAAAAGGTCTGTTGAATGAAAGCTTAAAAAGTTTCCATCAAGCTGAGTCTTAACATTCTCATAAAAATGAGAATCGCCTAAAACATTATCCTCAGGTCTAAAAATATGTAGAATTTTTTCAGCTTCAAACAGATTTAGTAATTCAAAGCCTGGCCTGAAACTAGCAGCACTTTAGATATATTGAGTAAAATTTCAAAAACTTTTTTGGAAATACACTTTTTAAATTGCAACTAAGAATGCGATCTTGTCCTTCAGTGATATATTCTACATAAATCATCTGTAAACTGTATAACATTTTTGTGTCATCATGTTCTCCTAAATACCAGCTCTTGAAAGAAGGATATATGGAAGGCTCTCTAAAATATTCATGTCTTTCTGCCACGGCACTCTTTCAAAAGGAAATTAAATTAGTCTCAACAGTCTCTGATGTTACTAAAATTAGTAAGAGAAACCATTTTTGGCAGTTCTGTTCAAACAGATGAACAGTTGGAAAGTTAACTTATTTCTCTTCTGTTTTTGGAATACAGGTGTTAGCAACAGGACTAAGTGGCCTCTATTCATCTTTGCCTACAAAGTTGGAAGAAAATGGAGAAGAGTGGCACTGTCTGCTGAAGGATGACTGGCTCTTGTCACCAGCCCTTGTACAGTTCATGAATTCCCTTGAGTTTTGCAATGCTGTGATACAGGTAATGGAGCAGAGTTGGCCTGCCTTTTTGAAGTAGTAGGGTTTTTTTATATATTCTGCAGAAGTTTGTAGTTGCAGAGTTTATTTAAGATACATTAAATAAGTTTCTTATAAAATGCATGCTTTGTGCTATTTGTCCTGGTTATAAGGATGAATTAATATGGTTTTTGTTTTCGCGTGACAAATTTTTCAAATGAAAGCAGTAGATTTATGTGTTTGCTTGATATTTCGTTATGTAATTGGGAGGATTTTCTGGGTTAAAAAAAAAAAGAGTTTATTGCATTTTAATACCACGATACTAAAAGTAAATTGAATGCCTTCACAAATGAGAAGATGTAGTTTAGTTTTTATATATTTAAGCACTGAAAAACATTCTGTGTTTCTCTAAGCCCTCTTAATGGTATCTAGAAAAAAATAGTCTGTTTGCCTGTTTACAAGTACTGCATAAGGAAAGCTTTCCAAGCAGAATTTAGGTGTCTCCGAAGAAATATACATTCATTTTAGATTGGCCTATTTTAGAATCATAGAATAGTTAGGGTTGGAAAGGACCTTAAGATCATCAAGTTCCAACCCCCCTGCCATGGGCAGGGACACCTCACACTAAACCATGTCACCCAAGGCTCTGTTCACTCTGGCCTTGAGCACAGCTTCCCTGGGCAACCCCTTCCAGTGCCTCATCAACCTTACAGTAAACAATTTCTTCCTTATATCCAATCTAAACTTCCCCTATTTCAGTTTGAACCTGTTACCCCTTGTCCTATCACTACAGTCCCTAATGAAGAGTCCCTCAGCATCCTTATAGGCCCCCTTCAGATACTGGAAGGCTGCTATGAGGTCTCCACGCAGCCTTCTCTTCTCCAGGCTGAACAGCCCCAACTTTCTCAGCCTGTCAATTTTGATTCCACTTTCTGTTCTTAATGATTATTTCTTGATTTCTTTTTTTTTTCCTTCCACTGGCTTTGATCCCTTCCTTTCTTTTTGTTTTTCTCTGATCTAAACATAAAGTGAGTTTTTTTGTGGTTTTGTATTGTTTTTAAGGCTGGTAAATCCTACAGAAACTTTGTCCAGTATTTTATTAAAACATGACACAAATTCTAGAGAAACTGTGTTTATGTGTTACTTGAAGAAATGTGCTGAATAGGATTGAAAATTTAGTCACATTGATTGTTAAATAGAAGATATGTTTTTATGAGATGTGCAAAATACAGTGAAGCAACTGATTGATTCTTAGAGCATTGAACAGGGAAATAATAGCAACTGTCATTCTTTAAATGCAATATAAAGATTTCTAACATGCATGTTTAAACATGAAGAGGAGACAATATTAATTTTGGTGTCTAAGCAGAGTTTTTCTACAGATCTACATTTCCAGGAGGTCATATTTGATACCTTCTTAAAAAATTGATATGAAGGTTACTGCAGACAAATTAAAGCACATGTTATTTTAAACTTAAAATGGTTAAGAACTCTCGTGGTTTAAACCCAGTCAGCCACACAGTTTCTACTCCCCCCAGCTTCTGGATGGATGGGGAGGAGAATCAAAAGAATGTTAACTCCCACGGGTTGAGATAAGAACAGTCCAGTAACTAAGGTATAACACAAACCACTACTGCTACCATCAGTAACAATAATGATAAGGGAAATAACAAGGGAAGAGAATACGATACCACCCGCCCGATCAAGAAGAGCGTGCCCTTCCGGGTAACTCCCAGTTACCTCCCCAGGCATGACGTGCTGTGGTATGGAATACCTGTTTGGCTAGTTTGGGTCAGGTGTCCTGTCCCCGCTTCCTCCTGGCCTCTCCTCCTCCCTGGCAGAGCATGAGACTCAGAGTCCTTGGTCAAAGTAAAACATCAGTGTTATCAGCTCTGTTCCCAGGCTGAAAGTCAAAACACAGCGCTGCACCAGCTACTAAGAAGGAGAAAAATTGACTGCTACTGCTAAACCCAGGACAGTATCCACCCCTTATTTCATACCATTCACGTCATGCTCAGATCCCACATTTTCAATATACCATCGCTCTTACATATATATATATATATCCACATACACACACAGACAGAGAGAAAGAGATCATTTCTTAGTGCATGGACCAATCCCTATAATGCTGCTGAGTCCCTTTGGTCCATGATGTCAGGTTCCATCTCTTGTTGTTGTCTTTCGGAGCAGGAGAGTCTGTGTGCAGTGTTGGATCGTTGCCTGCTGATGCTGATCGTTCCTTTACTGCAGAACTCATCTGGTTCTATCAAAGTTCATTCTCTGTTGGGATGATGGTTGGAGGGAAGTCAGGGCCAGTCGCTGGTGACCTGAAGACATGTAGTTGATGGGCTATAAAAGTATTACACAGCAGGCAACAGCATACAATTAAGTTCATTGGCTGTTTTCCCCTAAAATCAAATCCCCTTGAGGTATATATCGGCCTTTTCCATCTTCCTGCATTACCCACCAAGTATATTCGGGTCCCTGAGCAAAAGCAATCCCACGAGTGGGTTTGCCTTTACCTGAAGCAGGAATAACCCAGACTGTCTTCCCCAGCAAATTCTTCATGTGCACCACAGGAACTTTGTCCCCCTCTACAGCATGTAAAAGTTCTGACTGGGCTGGGCCAGCCCTGTTGGCAGATCCTCTGGTGTTGACCAACCAGGTGGCCTTTGGTAAGTGTGTATCCCAATGCTTGAAAGTTCCCCCACCCATTGCTCTCAGTGTAGTTTTTAACAGCCCATTGTACCGTTCGATTTTCCCAGAGGCTGGTGCGTGGTAGGGGATGTGATATACTCACTCAATGCCATGCTCTTTGGCCCAAGTGTGTATACGGTTATTCCGGAAATGAGTCCCATTGTCTGACTCAGTTCTCTCCGTGGTGCCGTGTCGCCACAAAATCTGTTTCTCAAGGCCCAGGATAGTGTTCCAGGCAGTGGCGTGGGGCACCGCGTATGTTTCCAGCCACCCGGTGATTGCTTCCACCATGGTAAGCACACGGCGCTTGCCTTGGCGGGTTGGTGGCAGTGTGATATAATCAATCTGCCAGGCCTCCCCATATTTGTAATTCAGCCATCGTCCTCCATACCAAAGAGGCTTTAACCGCTTGCCTTGTTTAATTGCAGCACATGTTTCACACTCGTGAATAACCTGGGCAATAGTGTCCATTGTTAAGACCCCTCCTTAATCACGGGGCATCTGTATGTTGCATCTCTGCCCTGATGGCCTGAAGTGTCATGGGCCCACCGGGCCAAAAATAATTCACCTTTATGTTGCCAATCTAAGTCCATCTGAGCCACTTCAATCTTAGCCGCTTTGTCCACTTGTTGGTTGTTCTGGTGTTCTTCAGGGGCCCGACTCTTGGGTACATGGGCATCTACATGGCATACCTTCACCACCAGGTTCTGCAATTGAGCAGCGATACCTTGCCACAGTGCAGCAGCCCAGATGGGTTTACCTCTGCATTGCCAGTTGCTCTGCTTCCATTGCTGCAACCATCCCCACAGGTCATTTGCCACCATCCGTGAGTCAGTATAGAGATAAAGTACTGGCCACTTTTCTCATTCAGCAATGTCCAGGGCCAGCTGGATGGCTTTCACCTCGGCAACCTGACTCGATTCACCCTCTCCTTCAACAATTTCTGCAGCTTGTTGTTGAGGACTCCATACGGCTGCCTTCCATCTCCAATGCTTTCCCACAATATGGCAGGACCCATCAGTAAACAAGGCATACTGTTTTCCACTTTCTGACAGTTTATTATATGGTGGGGCCTCTTCAGCACGCATCACCTCCTCCTCTGGTGACATTCCAAAATCTTTGCCCTCTGGCCAGTCCATGATGACTTCTAGAATGCCTGGACGACTGGGATTTCCTATTCGAGCTTGTTGTGTAATTTGTGCAGCCCACTTACTCCATGTAGCATTAGTTGCATGATGTGTAGAGGAGACCCTGCCTGTGAACATCCAGCCCAGCATGGGCAACTGGGGTGCCAGGAGGAGCTGTGCTTCAGTGCCAATCACTTCCGAAGCAGCTCAAACCCCTTCCTAGGCTGCCAGTATCTCTTTCTCAGTTGGGGTGTAGCTGACCTCAGATCCTTTGTGTCCCTGTCTCCAAAAGCCGAGGGATCGACCTCGAGTCTCCCCTGTAGCTTTCTGCCAGAGGCTCCAGGTAGGACCGCTCTCCCCAGCTGTGGTATACAGTACATTTTTTACATCTGGCCTGGTCCGGACTGGTCCAAGGGCCACTGCATGAACTATCTCGCGTTTAATTTGCTCAAAGGCTTGTTGTTGTTCAGGGCCCCATTTAAAATCATTCTTCTTCAGGGTCACATGATAGAGAGGGCTTACAATCGAACTGTAATTTGGGATGTGCATTCTCCAGAACCCCACAGCACCCAAGAAAGCTTGTGTTTCTTTCTGATTTTTCCAGATTTTGCACTTGTTCTGTGGTGAATTTCCAAAGCACTGGAGGTGCCCACTGGCCTAGATACTTGCCCATATTGTCCCACACGCCCTGCCACTCATGGCTGTCCAGCCTCGGGAAAATCTCCTGCTCCTCCTATATCGTCGTTTAACCCCTGACAAGACCCAGACCTGACTCTGCTTAACTCTTGAAATCATACAGGATGGTCATGGGCAAAATACACTCTGTATGCATGCCAACATGGTGATCCCCATTACAATCAGCAAACAAGTCTCAACAGTATTAAAAGGCCATTCAAAAACCTCAAAACTCTCAAATGATGCTGTAAAGGGTCGGGGGGGGGGGTGGGGGGGGGTGGGGCGGGGAGTGTAAAAGAATGTTTCCTTCACAGGTTGACCACCCGAGAAGGAGAAAAAATGTGTAGCGCTACTGCTAAACCCAGGACAAGGATCTTCAGCTGACATGCAGAAAGATCAGTTTCTGACTGCTGCTTGAGTGTGTATAGTCTTTCCGCAGCTGAATTAAAAGCTCAGTTGCTGCAGGATTTTTTTTTTCCGTGCATGGAACGGTCTTCATGGCGTGGCTTGTTCTGTGTTGACCTAAAAACTTTGGCCAGACATTAAAAAGGATCAACGTAGCCACTTGCCACTTACTAGTTTTTTTTCCTGGATCACGGCAAAGGGTGGGTAACCCTTCTTCTTTCCCTTTCCAAAGCAAAGGTTAGACATGAAAGGAGGCCTGGGAAGAACTGCAAGTGGGAAAAACTACTTGTGGCCGCATGTAGGCTGTGACACTCCAGTCTCTGTGAACTTCAAACAGAATATAACAACTTACAGTGCTTCTGAATGGAGTATTTTTTTTCTTCTATCAGTTTTTTTTCAAATGCATGAACTGGTGATGTGTTCTCTTTGTGAAAGCAAAGTGAATGCTTCATTATAAAAGTAAATTTTTGGCTTCTAATAACTATTCATTTCTTAAAGCTCTGAACCAACCTATTGAATGAATAATGTAGGTCTTGTTTTAATTTCTGTTTTACAGTGGCTGGGAGAAAAGCAAACAAATAATATGTTGTTACCCCATAGCTAGGTAGTGCTTTGGTTTATCCACTCTTGAACCACAGGAAAGCAGCTGTTCTGCTTTTCCTTCTTGTAGGAGGACAAGTTAACAATGGCAAATCCACCTTCAAGTGACCCTGATGAGGTTGCAGGAGCTAAATATAGATTCTCAAATCTTCCTTTGATGCATGGGTATACACGCTTTCTGTCCATTCATTCATCTTTGTCAGCATGCCGGGAGATTGAAAAGCCCTGTTCTCTAACTTTGGCAGGCTTACTATAATTAAACAGAGTTTGTATAGTTCTTTGAGGAAAGGTCTGTAAGAACTTGAATCATAGTAAATGCTGGTAAGAAAGGTAAGTGAACATACCTTGTTAAATGGGAAAGGATTTTGGTAGTAGTTAATACTAGTGTGTACCTTGTCTTGTTTTAAATCTTACTGGAACTGTTCTTTGTCTTTCTCTCCCCCATCCTTTTAGGTGGCACATCCATTGATACGTAACCAGCTTGTAAATTACATTTACAATGGATTTTTGGTGCCAGTAATGGCTCCTGCCCTCCATAAGGTCAGTGGTGTATGCAAGCAGGACAGGACGTAATAACAGGCAAAAAGCATTATGGATGATCTCTGCGCAAAGATACAGTTAAATGTAGTGTCAGTAGTGACTTCTGTATAATTAAGAGTCTAGGCTAACTTTCCATCTTTTTATTCTACACTTTCTGTTTACACTGTAGTGAGTATTAAGCAAGATACAGGTATTTCTGAAAAGGTTTAAAATTAAGTGAAATGAAGAACCAAAATATTTTTGTTGCACTAGGCTGACATATCATCAAAAAAGCAGTGACCTTTTAAGCAACATGTCCTCATGTTCCATCAGGATTATTGTTTTCCAAATGAGCATTTTCCAAAAAGAAAATGCCCACAAGGAAAATGTTCAGTCAGGGAATATTACGCTAATTTTAGCAAGGTAGGTATTGTTTTGTAGTTCCTCATCACAGTTGGTAAAGCTACTTTGTAAAGTGGAGAAGAAGTGGAGTTTGGTATGAATTTTATAATGTAGTAGGGTACAATTTATGTTGCTTTGGAGATAAAAGTGATCATTTTAAGTTTTTTGGGTTATCCTTTGGCAAAATGTGTCACTGATGTTGGTGAACTACCTGTATTTTATTTTTTTTTTTTATTTTTGTTTTTTTGGGGGTTAGACTGCAGCAAACTGCATTTCCAGCTGTTGCAAAATATGTCAATTAACAATCCTGATTGCCCTGTAAAAAGAACACCTTGTATGATGAGAAAAAGTAGGAATTGCAGAGAGTAAAAATCCATCAGAAGGCACCAGGAGAGGACTAATAAATTACTTTTTGAAGGTCTACTAATTTTACTAAGCCTGCCAAGCAGAAAGCAGTGCACCTGTTCCATTTTCCGAGAAGCCAGTGAAACACCGTACCCTGCTTTCTAAGTCTAGAACTTGGCAGTGGACACAGTTCTTCATGGTAAGTAGTCACTTACCAAGGAAATAATAAGCAGTATAGCATCTCCTTCAATGATTCGGCAGACTTCAAACGTTTAGGAAGTTGGCAAGGGCTGACATAAAATCTGGCTGTGATCCAGATCAAGGCTGTAGTCGGCCATTCAGTTAGTTCACCACCTTACCTGGCATTAACTTTTTATATTTCTGTACCTTGACTTAATCCCTTATCGAGACTGGGAATTAAAAGTGAAAATCTACTCACTTTTATTTAGGTCAAGGTTATGGATAACAAGGGTGATAACAAAATGTAGCTGTAGGATTCTAGTCTTAGTGGGTACTGGTTTTACTTCTGAAGCACTTAAGACTAATTTTAAGTTGCTTTGAATAGTACCATTTTTTTTTATACCTGATGAATGCCATTCTTATTGGTGAGTAAATCTGCTAACCTGCTATTGGGTTGATGATTTCCCTGTTACTTAAATCATATAAAGCATGCTGTTTTAATGACATTTTTTTTTTTCATGCAAGGAAAATTTTGTTGAACTTCATTTATATACTCTGAAATTAGGTTTCTCTTAAATGGAGACGTACATGAGTTTCAAGCCTAGATCTTTCCTGAACCCCAACATTGTTTGGTGCCTTGTGCTTCTAGTAATAAACCTTTCCTTGATTAGCATGAAGTTTGACTTTTTCCCTCTTTAAAAATTAATTACTTACGTGTATAAACTTCAAACGCATTTAATGGAGAAGATGGATTGCACCATCTAGTGGATCTGACACAAGGCTCTCGCGTATCTGACAGCAAACCTCATGTATGTCCAGTTTCTTTAAATGTTTCCTAACCTGACCCCCCTCGTCTAAGAGTAAGTCTTCCTTGCTCTGGATTTCCACTTTTATCTTAAGGACCTGGGAATACCAAAGGCAAATCTTGCCAGTAAAGACAAAGGTGAGGAAGGAATTGAGTACTGAGGCTTTTTCTGTGTATGTTGTCCCCAGGTCCCCTTCCCACATTTAGCAGTGGGCATACATTTTTCGTAGTCTACCTTTGCTGTTGAAGCTGTTCTTCAAGTCCAGCTGAGCTTTGGCTTTCCTAATCCTTTCCCTGCCCACACAGGCAGTTTTTCAATATTCCTCCTGGATCATCTATCCCTGCTTTGTCTACTCCTTTTTGTGTTTCTGTTTTGTTAGGAGCTCCTAGTTCATCCATGCAGACTTGCTGTCACCTTTCATTGACTTTCTTCTCCTCTCCCATCCTAGAACATTGGAGTATCAAACAAGACTTTTGGTAGAAGCAGTATCAAAATTTATGTAAGCAGAATTTCAGTAAAGTAGATCAGAATTTCAGCATGTGGTCCAAAGCTGTGAGATACTTGTATGTGTGATCTTGAAGTGTCAGCTTCAAGTTACACCTTTATGGAACTGTGTTACACATTTATGGAACTGTGTAGTAAGCTCTGCCTTTTTTTTATTTTTTTGCAGATTGTCTCCCCATACATACTTACTAGGTACAGTTCCCTTTGTGACTGAAGTGGTACAAGAGTGTTGAGATGTGTCTCTATGAAGAAGTCATGGGGTGGGGAGACCAACAAATTTGGTTGATGTGATTTTTTTTTTTAATTATTATTGTTCTTTATTTTTTTATGATGTTATCTCAGGAAGATAGTATGGACTTGATAAAATAACGTGGTAGTTCAGGTTTTTTCCAGTTAAGGAAGTTTCAAATTGCTTGGGCTACCTACTTGGCTTGAAATAACCTGTTTTTCACACTGAGCTCTGTGAAGATTATTTATATAGCAGATTAACTGCCCTGTGCTTAAATAACCCAAACATTCTCAAGTTTATAACTCCCTAACTTCATTTCTCAAAGATAAGCATCCTATATATAGCGTGTTCTTGTATATTTATACCTGGTCTGTACTAGTCTTGTCACTTTGTGTGGGTTATTCCACCTACATGTGTAACGAGCAGTTGACAAATACGTATCTCAGAAGCTGCACATTGCTGAAGGCGTAGACAGATCCCTATGTACTATGTAGCTAGGGACACACATGAACTGGCTGTGCTGGGTAGCCCTGTCTTGTCCTTTAGCTGCTTGGATTTTATTGTACTTTTTACAAAAGAGTTACCTCCCTTCTGATATCTGAGTTTTGTGAGACACTGAAAAAACTGAATTAATGACATGCTTCAGTGGGGTTACACAAGGTCACAAATCCTTTGTTTCTGTCAAAATTCAGTTAAAACCAGAAGGAATAAAATACCTTGTCTGTAAAGATACAGAGCTAAATAGGTTAATGTGGTAGTTTTCTTTTCATAGTAACAATCCATTGTTTAAATTTTTGCCCAAACCATCTTTTATGTTTTGGGTATAAGTGTTTGACCAGATAGTCTTAATTTAAGAAAGTTAAGAGTTATCTGGCAAACTCTGTTCTTTATTTGAAGACTGGCATTTTTTGATGGCATGTCAGTTAAATCTTGAAATTAGGCAGTTGTGTATGTTCTTCCTTAGATTTTGGTACTAAGGAAAAAAATACTTGAGAAGGTATAATTCTGCTTGGACACGAAGCCATACCATTAAATTTCTGTGACACATTTCATTGGCTTTTTCTTGTGTCACTTTCAAAACTAACATTTTGATGCTCTATCAAAAAAATATAAAGTCTTCTGGGGCCAAATTGTACATGGGTCTGAGTGATCAAATAAACCTAATTTTCTCTTCAGTAAAGGCCTAATTTAAATCCCAAAGTGAATCCAGAATAACCGTAGCAAAATCTGTTTTATGAGTTCTGCTAGAGGCCATATTGCCTTGTTTTAGTTTTTTTATATTTGTTACAGAAAGGGCATATTTACCTGATTTTTCAGGTAGTTGCAGCACTACTGTAGAAATCTGAGTGAAATCCTTTCCAGAAGGTCTTTAATACATACATCTTTTGCAGTCAAAACCGTGTGCTAGATAATTAGGAACCACACTGTGGTGTACACATAAATATTATGCTATCTTTGATACAGCTCAGATTGGTTATATGCATCTCTTTACTGTAAGTGCATATGATTTAACTTTAATTTGGCATTCAGGGAATTTGTGTGACAAAGATAACTATTTGGAACATCTGGAGTGTTTCTGTAATTTGTGTTATTTCAATTTATTGAAGATAGTACTGAAAATTTGACAAATTATGTGCTAAAAGCAATTTTTTATGTCTTTTACTGCTTTACTGTATGACGTTTAATTGCTGATTATCGTATAATTATTTTTCTACTCGGAAGGCTTTGATCTGAATAATGGAAAATTGTACCAGCTTTTTAGTATAAAATGTTGGTGTTGGCCAGGTGAACAGAACTGTTCTGCAGAAGCACTGGCATGGTCCTGTCAAATAAGCTCTGTCAAATGGACCTCAATTCTATTGTGCACTAACCCATCTAAACGCAAACCCCTAACACAGTACGCTACTCTGATAATTCAATAATACTTGCTTGATGATTACGCAGCTCAGCTAGAGGGAAATGACCTGTAAATTATACTGTATAGATTAGAAGGAGCATCTTTATAAATATCCCACAAGACTGTCAGTTCCCATTTAGAAATAATACCATCTTTCACCCTAGTGAAAAGCACTTGGACAGCTGCTGTTAAAAAGCATAAGCCAAGTGTTACTGGTAAACTTTGAACAGTCTCATGCTTTGGAGAAGCCCATTAATAGCTGCAAAACTTAATTTTGCTAGCTATGGTGTGGATATATGTTAAAGGTGCCTTTCAGTTTTGGCATCAAACACTGCAGTTGCGTTGAATTTTAACATGGTATGAACTGAAGCAGTTTATAAATGTAAGCTGGAGGAAGCTGAAGCAGTTCCGTTGTTCTGGTTTTCCCAGTGTGCAGACTTCCTCTGTCCCTGATCCCACTGGTCCCCCTCTCTTTTTCCAGGACAACTGTTCATATGGGAAACTGATTGAGGTTAAAAACCACCTTTATTTCCTGAATAGTTTTAACCTGAAAACAATTCACTGTGCAGTGAAGTGAAGCAGGAACCTTTTTGACAGCACAAGCAGGGGCCAAGAAGTTGAAAATGAATAGAAAGCAGAAGAGTGTGGAAATGGGTGGGTTTTGTTTATCAGTGAAGTGGGCTTATTCAGATTTAAATTACTCATGGATTTAGTGGTTAAGTTCCAATAAGAACATTCACTGTCCCTTCATGGGCAATATGAAATCGTTACAGGAAGGGAAATGGGAAGGAGGAATCACGATAGCCATATTCCTGTAAGAGGGCATGAAGCTGTAAATTAGAAATATATTGTGTGGATCCCAGGGGAAAATAGCCAGTAATAAAGAATCAGTTCAATTGGTCTAACACAGTGAGTGTAATATATTAAACTGAACTTGCAATGACAGTAATTTCTGCCTCTTTGCCATTACTTGGCACAGTGACTTACAAAAGCTGTATCTCTTTACTGTGTTCTGCCTCACCATCTAATCAGTCATCAGAGGAGGTGAGAAAAGATTTGCTAAAAATTATTACATAATTAGAGAAGGGTATTATGAGGCTAAAAAGGACTTTCTCTCTTCAGTAATCTCTAATCAAATATCTGTGTGGCTATGAAGACTCTCGGGTAGTCCCTTCTGCAGCAAGTTATACCTTAGAAATATCTGTAACAACTGATTATTATATAGAAAAACATGTGGATAAGTTTTTCTTGATGGTATCTTTAGACAGGCATTAAAATTTGTATGTATGTTGGAAAAAGAAAAATCCAGAAACTTCAAATTGTTACAACAGTGAATAATGAAAATATAAAAGATAGAATACTGGTTGAATTAATACAATGGATATGGACTTTTTTTTTTCCCCCTCATTTTTCACTTTCAATCCTACAATGTCATCCTAGAAGCAGAGCTATCCCTGGTCTTTACCATGAATACTACTGCAAGGGCTGTTGCTGGTGAGCTTTTATTCTTGCTGGTTTGGCAGTGGTGAATTTAATATTATTGAAATGCCTTTATCAAAAACATAGCTTGAAATTTACTTATTTAACCAAGGGCTTCTCTAGAAAAACTACCATGACTTAATTTAATTAATTTCAGTTTGTTTTGCTGTTTTTCTTGATACTTGAATTATCAGAGGTGACAAATTTTCAAGTTAAATATTGGGTTTGTGAATGTGTGTAAATTTTGGCTTGCTTTTTGTCATCCTTTCAAAAATGGTCGATTCTGAGTGCTAGCTAAAAGCTTACTTGGACGAATTATACCGTAATCAATGTTTACAGTGATCTAAAGTTTTGTAAGCTGACTCAGGATTTGACTGTAGTGGACATGCTTGACATGGTTAGTAAATGTTTTGTTCTCTGGAAACATTTGTTCTTCTGCTGTTTACCTAAGTATTGCTTTGAATTTATTAGAAAGGATTTCCCTACTTCCCCCCAAATCTGTCTCATGAGGCATTAGTTAAAAAAGAGTCAAGCAGCAGGGAGTCAGAATGAAGCTTAGTAGCATGGATTTGGTATCTTAGAAAACAGAGGTCTTCAATAATAACTGCACAAATGAGTCTCACTTTCAGCACTTGATGTATTATGTATAATGCAATCTGTAGAAGAGGTGTACAGAGTTAAAAGGGGTCTTGCCAAGGCTGGGTTTTGCCTAGTGTAACTGATTTCTCCAACCTAGTTAATTGCAGAAAAAGTGAGCTCTCTAGAGGCTCATTCAGAGCAGGCTTATGTATCCCATTGAGTGAAGGGAAAATGAGCCTTGTGGAGCTAAAATCAGCCTTTCTGAATGCTTCTCTAGGTGCCTCAAATCTTCAGATCTTGCAGTTAACATCAGATCTGGTAAAGGGGAGAAGCAAGCCAGAATGCATGGTGGCAAAATAAGATGTAATTGTAGAAGCATGGATGCCCACTTGCCAGCCTAGTTAATCTTTTTTCCTAAGCTGCATACATTTCAAATGCCAAAAAGCAGTATTTTTTGTTTGATTTGCACTTGTGAGGATGCAGAAGGATGATCTTTGTGCTGGTCTATATGGACAAGTTGCACACAAAGGCATGCTGAGAAAGCACTGGAACTTCTAGAATATGGTGACATTAAAATTGCTTGTACAGAGTTAACTTGCCTGCTTTGCATGTTGCACAGTGAGCTGTGAAATAGGTCCTAGCTTCATTTGTTGCTAAAGTTTGAAGGAGCGTTGTGGATAAGTCAGGGTGTTTTCATTGGAAAATGAAAAAAGATTCTTATAAATCCATTTAAATCTTGACAAAACTGAGTTGTTTTCCCTCTTTCTCAGAAAGCGTTTAAGCAGGTTCAGCAACTTCTTTCCCAGGAACTAAAAATCAAGTGTAATGTGGCACTCTGCACAAAAAAAAAAAACCCAATACAGAGAATTAAGATTTAACGAGGTTATAAGCAACTCTGTTGTGAAGTATTTGGGCTTCATTACTAATTGGTTGGTTCTTCTACCTCTGTTTAGTGGTATCATTGAAGTGTTGGTTTAAGATAAACATGATTTCTTGTCTAGTCCCTAAGCTGTCAGGAGCACTGAATATGCTCTTGGAAAGAAACATTTATTTACTTAAAGTACTCTTTGGCTCGCTTTCTTATGCTCTTTGTTTCATTCACGATATGCACTCTGAAGAGCATTTGGGTTTCTCTCACTGATATGAATGTAAGATGAGTTGTCCAAAGAGCACTGGTTTTAGGAAAAGGTCACTGCCCTTGTGAATCCAGTGGCTTTTGTTGCTTTCATTTACAGCTTCAGTATTTTAGATACAGGCCCATTCCTCTGCTGTCAGCAGACGTCTGTGAAACCTGCAGGCCAAGAGCATACTTGCTTTTCCCCATAAAGGATGAAGGAGAAGTGACACAGAGACATAAAGATGTATTACTTCTGTCTGGCCTTTCCTTGGCAGAGGGTTTAAACTCTTCCATGAACTGTATGCTATCATAATGATGTCACATGATGGATTTCTTGGGCTTTGTTTTTTATAGCTTGCTGCTGTCAAAAAAGCAAACAAAAAAAAAGCCAGTTCTCAGGGCAACAATCAACAGGTTCCATTAGAAAGCCCACAAGTCCCCACACCTTTTGGCTATTGCAAAAGAAAAAGAAAATCTTGGCTCCAAGTGGAAACAATTTCCTTTGTTTCACAACTCTGGCTGATTTCCTGAGCAGGTGTTTGGTCGTTGAAATGTGGCAGTAGTCCTGGAAAAGTATGGAAAAGTGTGCTTCTCTCTACTCTCCTCACTGGTGCTCATGCTCCATAAGGTCTGTAGGCTGCATACAGCATTCCTATGTTCTGTGTAACCAGCCAGAAGGAGCCTGTGATCTTAAATGCTTTAAAGAGAACATTTGCAGCATGACATTGCTGTGTACATGGCTAACATGCAGCATAACAGAACAGGGATTTGAATATTTACAGCATGTTACGTAAATGTTGCCCTTCTGAGAATTTTCTAAATCCTCTTAGCTCTGAAGTGACAGCTTTGAATTTTTTTCTTCTTCTTTAATAAAATCAGTCTTTTCATTTATCCAGCTAAGTTTGGTAAACAAAGGATATTTAATACTTCCTTTCATATAGCCAGATTCTTGTGTTTAAGGGTTTGTCTTTGTGCACTTAAGCTTATTATGTTCCTGGGTGACTATTTTAAAAAAGCTGACTTTGCAACAGCAAGACGTGTTGCAGAGGTGGCCTTTGGAATTTTCTGTGCTTTGCCAGTGTATGCTGTGAATAGGATCCAAGGGATTGCAATAAGCAGAGAAGTGTGGGTTCGGGTATCTGAGTGTCGCATGGATATTTGAATTGTATTTTGATATACAAATAGGTTTTGGTTTGTGTGTGTATCTATATACATACTCCTCTCAAAAATTGAGTAAGATGAGGAATTGTGCTGTGGGAAAATAAAAAGAAGGAAAACTGAAAAAATTCTGGACAGCTATCAGGATTTTCATTTGTTTAAAGCTCTAGAACCATGAGTTTGTAGTGTGCTTTGTGCTCTGGCATTTTCTTTTATGAAGTGGTAGATGCAGGTATTCACAACAGCTGAAAATGCTTCTGAAGGATGACAGAAATGTGATGCAAAAGAGCTGACATGGGCTGAAAGGTGGTGGAGAGCTTGTAGCATGATTTGCTCTTCATATTTCAGTATGTGTGAGGTTTGGGGTGTCAATTTGGGGGAAGTTTTTTTTCCTGGGGAAGTAAGACAGATAAGAAATTGGTTCAAAATGCCCATGAGCCATTCAGAAGCATGCTCTTTGTAAATTTAAAAGCAAAGACCTCTGTCTGGTTTTGTGGCAGTGTTATGAATGGAGAATTTAGTGTTTGCCAGGTATATAGTTGCAGAGGATGGGTGGGTATTTTGTGTTTGCATTTACACTATTTTTGCTTGCAGCTGACTGTGGAAGAGGTGATGACTACCACTGCGTACCTGGATCTCTTTTTGCGTAGTGTTTCAGAGCCAGCCCTCCTCAAGATTTTCCTCCGGTTTATTTTGCTGCACCGACATGAGAATGTGCACATCCTAGATACGCTTACTAGCCGAATCAACACACCATTCCGGGTAAGACGAGCAAGAAGGAAGTTCAGGTACTCAGCGTGGATGCTGGTTAAATATTTTAATGGGAGATTCTATATATTCAGTTGGTATCTGTTTAACTATGAATCTTCTCCCCCCTGCCAACCAAATGTGTGATTTCTGCTTCTGTGTTTCATGACATTTAACTGCCACTATACTAGGTTGATAAATGTGTGAGGTGGTTTCACACACACAGGAAATGGGATAGAGGAAGATGAGGGCTTTCGGAAGTCTGGATTCTCCTAGAAGATTAAAAGTATTCTGGATACTGCTGAATTAGTGCCGCCATAGATAACTCATCCTGAGACTTATAAACATACTTGTGGTGAGGAGCATTTTTGATCTTTGGAGTTTTGCCAAGCAAAAAACCTTTTCAGATAGCCCCTCTGGGAGATGATGGGAGCCCTTTTAAGGGTGTCTCCAAATTGATGCAAACTGTGAATTGTAGTATTGCCAGTGTATTTCTCAGGAATCAAGTCTATATTATTGTAGCATGTTTACTTAACTGTCATGTTGCCTGCTTTCTTCTTTGATTAAAAGAAGGTGCTTTCTTGCCGAAGTGATCAGATTGCCGCTTCCTTTTCTTTGCCTTCACTCTTGTATGTAATAAGGTTTATCTCAAATTTGCACTAAGCCCCTTTTCAGCCTAGACACAATGCATCACAGTGGCTGGAGAGCTTGTTGACAGAGATAGTAGAGTTACCTTTGCTGACAGTTGGATCTTCTGGCAGAGAAAATGACTACTTGTTGCAATGGACTACTCTCCTGAGCCTTGCTCGGCTGGCAGCCTTGGCTGGGTCTTGTGTGATGCACAGCTTCATGGATGAAATAAGGGTAATGTTTTAGTGCAGGTACAAGAGAAGCCAGAACACCAGCATGTGCATTAAATTTGTGTATTAGAGACAGTAGCTTCGTCTGAAATTTGTTTTGAAATGTGAGTACATGCAAGTATAGTTACATGCTGCTGCTGCTGCATCCCTAAGTTGGATTAACTCTGAAAACTGAAGCAGCTTCTGTCAACAAAAATGCAAATGCATGCTGTTGTCTCGGCTAATCATTAATTACTGTTCCATAGGCAAATGCCATGGGAATTGTAAAGAATTCTGCAGCTCTGAGCAATTCAGAATCTCAGCCAAAATGGTTCGGTGATGCTAAATGAGTTTTCTGCAGTATAGCTTGGCCAAGTGCAAAAGTCAGAGCTGCAGCCTTCTGTGTGTTTCTGTAGCACAAAAGCTGCATGTTATTATTGATAAAAATACTTATTAATAATTCACAGGGTTAAACGTATGTACAGACAGGTGGCCAAAAGGACTTGTAAAAATATGATCCTCTTTGTCTCCTGGGCATATTTGAAACCTTTTCTTTTTACAAAATACAGAAATAGACTAGTTTTATTTATTCAGATGATTCCTGATTTGCAATATCGTTGCAAAGACAAAGGAGTAACTGCAGGAAATTTCTTAAATACAGGAATGTTTAAGGCAGTAGCAGTTTTTTTGAATTCCCACAGAGTGAAGAAGAGTTAGGCTTGGCTGTCACTAAATTTTGCAGAAGAAATGAGATTTTCTGGTTTTCCTTAATGTCCCCTGGCAAAAACACACCTTTTGTGCAAGGATGTGACTTCTTCCAAAAGGTTGTTGTGAAGCTCTTCAACTCTGCCCCCACATTCTATCAAGTGAACTCCAGTTCTGGTTATTTCTTCCTCTCTTGCTTTTTTACTTGCTTCATATATTTCTGCAGACATGAGGTCTTTGGACTGGGTGTTAGCTCCTAGTACAAGCAGTGGGCAGCGGTGGCAGGGCAGCAAGTTTGAGCTCTGATTTGCGTCACAGTAGGCCAGTTCATGAGCATTCCCCGTTTCTCTTCTAGCTGCTTATTCCCTTTCTTTTGTTCTGCTGTGTGTGTTCTTCTGACCAAACTAGGGAAGGTAGCCAAAGAAACGTTTGCTCTTCAGAGGCTAAATGAGGTTCACTCAAACTTTGCCATTTAACTGTTTCACAGAGATACCTACCACACAAGGCAAAATACATGTATGTTCCTGAGCTAGAACAGAGCATTTTAACAGTGGGAGTAAGGGGAGTGAATGCAGAGGAGGAAATTCCATACTGTGGAAGAGAAGCCCAGGCAAGATTTAATCATAAATGAATTACAAAGACTGTTCAGTGACTGAAAATATGAGGTGGACAAATATCTGTAGCTTTTTGCTTATTTTGCTGTATCTCTTTCTTTAGTTACTGAAAAGTGCAAATAATTTCCTATATTAATTATTTTCATTTACGTAATTAATTTAGGGAGAGGCAAGATTTAAACACTAACTTGAAACTTTAGGAAAGGGTCAACTTACACTAAATAACTCTCATGAGCGTCAGCCTGGTCCTGGTGTCTGAGCCAGCTGTGAGATACTGTTTCCATGAGCAAGCAGCACAGGAGAATGTGCCCGAGAAAATATGCACTGAGAAGCAGCGGGGTAATGGCACAGTGGCCTGTGAAAACCAGCAAAAGCTTACAGCTCATGCTTCTACCAATTTGGGTACAACTGCAGCCTAGCAAGCCCCTGGCAGGTAGAAGTGTAGTATGTGATAGCTCTGAAGGTGGTGTATTCCTAATTAGTGACCAGCAAAGCCTGTAGAAATCCATGTTTTCAGTCTGTCCTAAAGCCAGTGAAAGTGGGGTGCCTGTCACAGACTAGGTTTGATTTTTGTCTCTGCTGAGTGTGACTCCTGCGATACTTAGTTTAAGGTATATTTGATCAGACCTTTGCCAGAAAGGCAAGCATGCTATTCCAATGAGGAATCCCATTTTTCTTTCCTTTCCCCTGGTCTCAGAAAGAATCTTCATGCCTTACCATAGTTCCCAGCTGTTCAAGTGAGCTGTAAAGAAGAGATTGTGAACGCTCCATATGGAGTATATTCTGACAAGAATTACTTATTTAGTCCTGGTCTGTGTCAGTACATTAAGCTGTATTTATAGAAGCATTCAGGTTCTTAATGTGCAGAACACTAATCATTCCTTATAGTTAAAGCAACAGAAACTGGAAATGGTTTATAACTTTTCTTTCAGAAAAGGAATGTAGTTGGTTCAAATTCTACATCAGAGGTAAAATCTAACAAGCTATCTTGGAAACTACAGGGTTCAGTTCATGCTAAAAGTAATTTAATGAATTTGAGTAACATTGAAGACTGGTAAATTGCTGCTTTTTTAATAGCTTATTTGAAGGAAAATTCTGGATTGTATTTTGTTAAAATGTACCATGTTACGTGTATAGCTCTAGACAACTTTAAAAAGAATCCCATGGAGTGCTTACAAAATGAAATATGATACTAACAGTGTCTTATAAAGCATGATGCTTGGGCAGAGACATTTTATAATGTAGTATGCAGGGAAGATTTGAAAGGTACAATTTCCAGATCAAAAACTGACAACATCTATGGTTTTTTTTCAGCTCTGTGTGGTCTCCTTGGCATTGTTCAGAACTCTCATAGGCTTGCATTGTGAAGATGTGATGTTACAGCTAGTTTTAAGGTAAAGCTCAAACTCCTTTTTCCACTCTTCATCCCAGTTCTGGGACACACAATCTCCTACCTATGGTTGCAGAGCTGGATGAGAGTTTCTCCAAGAGAGCAGAAATCCAAGACACTACAGAGATAAGGATATTTATGATCCTGACAAAAGTCTACCAGACCTGAAGAAGTGTGATCTATGTCCTGTGATCTTCAGAGCAGATTTTTCTCTTGACTTATTTCTGTAGAAGTGAGAGAAGAGAACCTAGGAATATATTTATCACCTCCAAACTGCTCATTCCCTGCTTCTTAATGTATAATTCTTCTCTCCTGCATGTTTTCTCTAGTGTATTATACACTGTGATACAGAGCTATATACTTGTTTGCAGCTCCTGCCTTCTTTCCTATTGTTTTCCACCTCTATGAGCCCTCGCTCACTGAGAATACATAACAATCTACCTACAGCAGTTCAAGAGCCTGAAGTAATGTACTAAATGCATTGATCATTTTTGCTTTTAACTGATGGTTCTATGCGTTGCTTCAAAATACTTACCATTTTGGTTATTTGGAAATACTGGTTTAACTGAATTTAGCACTGTAGATCACATGAATGTTTCAGATACTCTGTCGCTCCATGCACTGGCATTAAGGTGAAATACTTTATAGCTCTGGCTCATGTGCCTGGTAATGCTGACAGGACCTCAGTGAACTCACATTGCCACTCTAGCAGCAGTAGAGTGCTGTATTTAATCTTCTTATTCATTTATTTAGGGAATCCTTTAGAATTTGTTTTCATTTGAAATGGCAAAACATCAGTTCAGTTAACACTAAGGCTCTTAATAAAGTGCTCTTAAAAAGTTGAACAAAAGTGCTCTGAAGATGTTCAACACAAGGCTGTGCTTCCTCTGTTCCTTGTACATCCCATAGCTCCCCTGCCTCAGAGCTCAGTCTTCATCTACTGCAGTAAAACACCTTGATGACCCTTCCTTCCTTTTTGCTGGCTGCTTGCCTGGCAAACATGAACAGCTTCTCTCTGAATTTCCCAGGAAAACAAATAAATTGAGGATTCTGAGACAGAACTCATGCAGTTTAGATTGGATATAAGGAGGAAATTATTTCCTGTTAAGGTGGTGAGGCACTGGAATGGGTTGCCCAGGGAGGTTGTGAATGCTCCATCCCTAGCAGTGTTCAAGACCAGGTTGGACGAAGCCTTGGGTGATATGATTTAGCGTAAGGTGTCCCTGCCCATGGCAGGGGGGTTAGAACTAGATGATCTTAAGGTCCTTTCCAACCCTAACTATTCTATGATTCTGTGATAATAGGGACCAAACCACTGTGCTGGCCTTTGACATCTGCCCATCCCACACTTCCTCCATCCCTTCTTACAGCAAGTTTGGTCTGACCTGCAAAGGATTGTTCACTTCCCTGTTCTGACGCAACTAATCTCCTGTGTCTACTCATCTTGACAGTTCCCCATCAAACCATAGCTTTGCAATATAGAAAGTCAGGATTTTATGCACTTGAGAGGGTATCACTGTCAAGTTCATTATTACTGTTTCTTTTGATTTGTTGAGGGCAGGAGGGTGGGAATGGTATTTTGTACGTTGTTGCTTTCTCTAATGTGAGAGGATGATGTGGTAATGCTAGACACTGTTGTTTCAGGTATCTGATCCCATGTAACCACATGATGTTGAGCCAGCGTTGCGCTGTGAAAGAGAGAGACTGTTACTCTGTGTCTGCTGCAAAACTGCTGGCCCTGACGCCAGTGTGTTGCTCCACTGGGATCACCTTAACAGTTGAAAGCCAAGGAAAAGATTATATTCTATGGACAAAAGCAGCACAAACTAAAGGTAATTGGTGCTCAGGGGAAGGCCAGATCATGAACTGAGTTTGATTTGGTAGCAAGCAGCTCATGGGAGCGAAAGGAAATGTGGACAACAAAAAGCAGGGCAAGCCTGGACAGGAAAGCTGCTTGAATTCCTGCCATGTGTCCAGGTTTATTGAAACCTGTTTTGAACAGATATCAAACTTGAATATGCATTTGTGGAAATAATGTACAGACACATGACAGCAACTCTTGCTGCTTCAGTGTGTCAGTGTTGTTTCAAAGGCTGAATGTGGGCTGGTCTCTCAGAAATCTCAGAGTTACGGCTCTGCCTTGGCAATAGGAATGAGTCATGTATGTTTATGAGCAAACCTCTCAATCTTTATGCTTTGATCTTCCTGCTTTATTGGATGGTTGGGTCTAAAGACTCCATCTGCCATGTTTTAGTGAGTGCCTTGCTAAGAACTTTTGATATATTACTCATGGTATGAATAATCTTCTTTACTTTCAGACTCTGGTAGACGCTTTTCTGAATCTACCTGCATTGTAGAATACGGAAGAGCTGTGGACCTCAGCTACTTGCAGTACCTGGGTGAAGCTCAAGAAGCCATCCTTCAATGCCTGAAAGATTGTAAAGTTTGGTCTGCCTTGTATGATGGAGTAAACCCTGATCCAGACACCTTTATCCAAACGCTTGCTGAGGAGAACAATACAGATGTGGAACACCCCATGTTTCGGCTCCAGCAAAGGACACCTAGCATGTGTAGCTCCTCTCAAACAACTCCTTTTAGTGAAAAGATGCAGTTGGAGCTAGAATGGGATGATAGCTATGACACAGGGATTTCTCCTGGTTCTGATGTGAGCTCACCACAACCGTATGATGATCTGGGAAACGCAGAGATGCAGCCACTTGCAGAGCCACCAAAATACATCCAAGAAATGAAAAAAAGTGCCATCATGCTCATCAAAGGATCTTACATAGAGGAATCAGACTTTCAGGATGATATTATGGTTTACAGGTTATGTGCCCAGAAGGATACTCAAGAGGATGACAGCTCCAAGGAGAAAACTTTAAATACAGCCAGAGAACACAAGGTCCAAAGCCAGACTGTAGTCAATGGGCCTCTTGCAAAGAGCCAACTGGAAATCGACTTGGATGAGCACAGTAAGAGAAATTCAAGCTTGACTCAAGGTGTAATGAAAGAACAAATAAACCAGAATATGATGGAGATTGATCCACAGCCAGACATAGAGTTGAAGCTTTCTCCTCAGGAGGCAGATCGTAACTTAAGTGTAAGACTGCTGAGCACAGATGGTGAGGATTTCATTGCACAGTATGACAAAATTATTAAGGAACTGGATCCAAACAGTGCAAGCTTGGAGGAGCAACAGTTGGATACTCCTGACCCTGTCTCTCCTGCAGAAGAGGAGGAGGACTTTGAGAATTTCTCAGCAGACACCCCTTCTGCGGAGAGTGTGTCATCTCCCTTTGGACCAAAGGAGGATGTTTCTCCTAAGCACGCTGCAAGGAGCCAGAGTGCTCCATTTACAGGTGGAATGTCCTGTTAATGACATACGTAACAAATACAGGAAGGCATGTTGATTAAAGGTGTCCCACTGTGTAGCACACAGCACAAGCACAGAGCAAGGAACAGACTTGGCACTATAGAGAGTATAGCCCAAATAACTAAGACTGGCCCAGGAAGAGTGAGAGGTCCAACATGAAAGTAGAGCAGAGCAAGGAGTGTGGTGACAGCAAGTGGTGGTGCTCAGGGGTCTTCTGGGTTGCTTTTCTTTTTTTTTTTGGTAATTGTTTAAAATCTTGAGCAGGGGCTACGCTGTTCGTATGTGAGCACCCCATCACGCTAGAGGAAGCTTTTGCAGTTGAAATGGAATTAGAGTTACTGTTCTAGTGTACAGAGGTCAGGTAAATAATCCCTCCTCCTGGTGGCTGTCATCTTTGATGCATCACGTTGCCTTTCTCCTCTGCTATTTCCCATTTTAGCACGAGGTGGCAGCACTTGTGCCAGGTCTGTACGTGCCTGTCTCCATGCTCTCTCCTGGCGCCCTGTTCCTCCAGTGTCAGGTCAGCCCTCGCTGTTGGGATGTTTTTCTGCCTTGTGCCAGGCAGCATTTTAAGCTTGGTCTCCGCAGACTGTCCAAGCCATTCAGGAATGACAGTGCTGCCGAAGGTTAGAGTGGGCTTGTGATCTGTATATCTCCTTGCGCAAGGGTCTTCTGGTCTTTAATTGGGTTTCCTAGATACCACAGTCATACAAATAATAAGAAATGATAATGTATCTAGGTTTCCTCATCTAAAATAAAACCTCTATAAGATGGCTTCTTGTTCATTTGAAAGGAGGGAGAAAAAGCATTTGTGTCCTTTGAAATGAAGCCCTTTCTGGTCAGCTGTGGCCAGCATGTCTAGCACTGTTTCTTAATTGAAAATTCAGGCTGTTTTTCAATCAATTTGCTATTTTTGCTGTAGTGACAATTTCCTGTAGTACCAGAAGCTAATCACATTCAAACCTTTCTGTTTCCCATTATCTGCTGTCAAGTGCAGCTCAAAAATGTTGTTCCTGACTCTTGTTCTTCATCTGATCCCTGCCTCTGTTTGTTCCTTTCAAAAAAACCCACACCAAAACCACACAGAAAAACTCGCCCTCCCCAAACCCACAAGACCCCACAACCAAGCAGAACAAAACAGTAAAAACAAACATGAAAAGCCTTGCTGTTTGCTCTCCATCCACATGTTTTACTCTTATGTTCTTTACCTTGCTTTAAAGAAGATCTTAGTGATTGTAAGTAAGGAGGTGCTCGTAACAATACCTCAGAAATGTTGAGATTGCAGTGTCTTTCAAATACAATAATATATTTAATTTGGAATGCTATATTTGCATATGTGTGATGAGGATTTTTGGTTGCTTTCACTGTTTTGGGATGCTGTCATGGGATTGTGGGGCTTCTCTGCAGAATCAGATATCAGACAGAGGCTCCCAATAAGTGTGCAGAGATGCTCTTTTCAGGTCTGTGGATCTGTGAAGAAAATGTCCTATGCCTGTGTGCAATTTTCCCCTGAGCAAGGAAGAATGTGGTGTTCAGGAACAGGAGAGCTTGACTTCATGGCCACATAAAAGATGCACAGTCAGGAAAAGAATTATTTTTTTGACTTCTCATCAGTTTACCCTGTTTCTTTCAAGGCTTGCAAGCTCTAAGTCTTGTCCCAGTCTTTTCATGGGGGGAAAAAGTCACTCTACCACTGAGAAATTTTTGGATGTATTGGTATCCTCTGTTGCAGTGGCATACTGCACTTGTTACACAGTACAAAGCTGAAGCCAGCTTTACCTGCTTAGCTTCCAAGTCTGATGTAGAGGAGAGAAACAGTGATATCTCTCAGCTCCTTCCCCTGCCATCTCTTTTGATACAGTAGTGTTCCCACTGCACTGTGGTCCTCAGGAGCTTTGTGGAAATGTCACCATGAACATGAGAGGGGAAGTAGTAGGTTATGTAGGGACAGGAGAAACTCTACCTCGACAAAATGTCTTGGAGTTTCTCCACTGGGTATCCAGGCAGGTGGGATTCCTGTAGGATGTGATGTTAACCTTCACTCTGATGGCCAGCGTGGTGGTTGAAAGGTAGCAGCCACATAAAGTCTTGTCAGCACCGGCCCTCCTTCCTTTCCTTTTGTGAGCGGAGCTGTGTGTCATCATGATATATGAATCTCGAGGGAGTGCTTGCTTTGTACTCATGCTTGCTATAAAGCATGATAGACTTCAGCCTTTAGTGAAGCTATGTTAGATGAAGTAGCAATGTATGTGCTTCTGATTTGCTCCTTACTGTTGTGTTTGCCTAGAATTTCTTTAGCCTCTGCCATAGTTCACAGTGTGCACATTAAGCTGGGCTAAATTACATGTAACTGGGCTACAAACAGCCATTTGTTAGCTGAGGGGTGGTGGGATGGGGTCGGATTATAGCCACCTGCTTGACCCTAGAAATGCCTGTGACATGCATTTTGTGCCAGGGACAAGGGTGGTGTATTCAAAGCTATCAGTCCTGTATCAACATCACTTAGGGATTCTTCTGCATGGTTTCCCTAGCTTTTACACAGCCAGAATAGAGTGGTGGGACTGGGTGAGGGACAAGGGATGTTTCTAAGGCTTTACTTGTGTTTAGGTCATTTGTACAGACTGCCTCAAGCATCTCACCAGCTGTATTGTCTAATGATGTGTAGTATTTGGTTAAAGTCATGCTCAGCCTTGCAAATATTTCTTAAGCTTGAGCACTAGGGGTTTATGTACTTCCATGGTAAATGCTCTTGTACTTCAGCAGTTATCCTGCAGCAGGAATACACAAACTAAAGCTATTATTTACTGATGACATTTATATGATTAAGCCTATGTCTACCAATAATTTTGTTTATAAATCTATTTTAATGTCTTCCCTGCTTTGTGTGACTCTTTGCAGTGCTGAAGATGCCATTTCTTGTGATGTGAACTATCACAGGTCTTGATTTTTATGTTTTGAGTAGAATGTTTATATTTCCTTTAGAACACCACAGGGTTTTTATAAGAAAGCTAGCTATAATTTCCTTTGCCCAGTAATAGAAGTAAGGCACAACAAGGGTAACAAGGGCAGATTCTGTTTCATTGAAACTAGTGATACCATTCCAGTTAAATTCAGGGGGAACAGAACAGTAGACCGTAAGGTACTAGGCTAAATCCTTACTGGCACATGTAAAGAGAATAGTTCTGCATGTTAAATGTGCCATTAATGTGAACTGATTGGCTAGCTAGCAAAAGTGCTTCTAATCACAAAGCTTTTAACACCTCTGTTAAGTCTATTTTGTCTGTTCAGATACAGTTTGTTTTTTCTCCCTACTGGCTTTAATTAGTGTGTGGGAGGTCTAATTTTGTTGGTTATGATGATCAAAATTCCTTTCAAATGCCTGTTTCCTGGATCTTAGAATTTTTCTTCTGTGGAAACAAAAGCATTGATTCCTTCTTGTTCTTCTCTTGCAGGACCGTTCATCAGTGTAGTGTTGTCAAAGCTGGAGAACATGCTGGAGAATTCCTTGCATGTCAATTTACTGCTTATTGGGATTATTACTCAGCTGGCAAGTTATCCACAGCCTCTTCTTCGCTCCTTTCTGCTCAACACCAACATGGTGTTCCAGCCTAGTGTGCGGTCACTTTATCAGGTATTTGACCACAACTGTTAGCCGTACCTATTGAAACGATATTTTTGGTGTCTCATTAAACCTTAGGTTAGCTCTTTCCAGTTCCACCTGTTGCTTTTCCACCTGTCTGAGAGCCTCTCATCTCATTTCCATGCTTTAATTACATTTGTAATGAAACTGGAAAGGAACTGAAAATTCTGCATGACCATAAGTTTTTTCACAACTCTATTTTAAGGCAGCTGGAGAAAGCCTGAGTGTTCAGTCTGTGGCTGCACTGGGAGTGAGGCAGGAAGCAGTAATTGTTATCGTTGTTTCGGCAGGTGCTGGCATCTGTGAAAAATAAAATTGAACATTTTGCTTCTGTTGAAAAAGACTTCCCAGGTCTTCTCCTGGAGGCCCAGCAGTACTTGCTTTTTCGTGTGGACATGTCTGATGCTGCGGAAGAATTGCTAACCAAAGGTAAATGTTAACCACACTCAGAGGGGTGCTGGGTGGAATGACTCACCATTTACCTCTCTCCTTTTCTGCAGAATGATTAAATGTAGGTGTGGTGTGGTGTGAATATCATCAGCCAGATGCATCCTTCTGATTTTAAACTGATGATGCCCAGTAGGCTACAGTATATGGATCTATTTGGATATTCTTTGCTCTTTAGAAGCTTTTATTTGCTGTCTGCTGAACAGAAAATATCTTTTTAAAAGAGTAACAAAATCAGCTCTTGGCTTGCTGTCAGTTTTTGGCCATAAACAAGCTTGCTTTCAAGGCATGAGGTGAGGTGGCATATGTGTATGATTTCGTTTTATTTTTAGCCTGACCTTCAGTTAGTCATTGGTTCTTTTTTGACAAATGTTTGAGAGGACAGAAGTCCAGGATGAATTGATTTCTGCAACAACTGAATAAGGCTTTGTGTCATGGTGTGGGCTACTACTGAAGGAGATAAATATTAATATTAGCCAGAAAACTTCTAATATACTTTTTTGAATGAAACCCAAAGCAAACAACAACAACAAAAGAAGGGGTGTGTGGAGGGTGGGTGGGTGTGAAAGCCAGGACACTTTGAGAGCAGTGTGGAATTAAATAGATATCATTCCAACAAGTTTTCCAGGGGACTTCTGTAAGACCTGCTGTTTCTCAAGCAAAGTGCGCACTACACCTGTCTAGAGTGTTACCGGTATTTACACTGCCATGGGGGAAGGTAGTCAAAGTAAGCAAAATGAAGAATCTTAAGTTCTAACTAAGAACTTTCCAGATGCAGCCAGGCAACTAATAGAGTTGGGGCCCAGCCATGAGGACGTGCTTGTTCTCAGCTTGCTGTTGAGCAGACAGTGTTGGGCGCAGGTTTCCCTTAAAAGCCAACTTCCTGCATGATGAGAATGCATAAAATTTGGTGAGAGCAGTGACTGCAGTGATTAAGAGCTGACTCAGCCACAGGGTTCAAGAGAGGCTGCTGTGCTATGGATATGTGCTTTCTCATCATTAGGAGTCATTAATAATCACCCTCTGCCATTAATAATCACTCTGTGAAGATGTTGATACTTTTCTTGGGTTTCCAAAGGTGTGGGAAGCAGAACTTTTATTGTGCCATTTTAGTTGCGTTTTCATTTTCAAGGTTCTGAAGAATAATATACGTAGTCAGCAGGGTCTGTGTTTCTAAGACTTGCAGTACATCTAGTCTGTAAAATTATGATCTTGCTAAGGCTGTTTTTCAAAGAATTAGACTGTGGAAGGTGCACGCCATAAAGGAGCTGTTCATTGCAAACACCAGTAGCATTTTAGGCTCTACATTCTCGTGCCATAGATTAGAAAGCCTTACAGTTAGATGGTACTGTAGGTAGCACGTGGGGATGAGATTAGGAGGCAACACTTAGAGTCCCTTTTTTTCAGGTGCTGGCAATAAGAAGTTTTATATAATGCATTCCCAATAGCATTTATTTATACTTCCTATTTTACATCAGTTTTCTTCCATGGACTTCAGAATTTGCCAGGTTGACTCATGCTGGACATTATTTAGGAATTAAAAATAAGACTGCTTAGTCATCCTCTTGGTACATTTTCTTCTGTGATGTGACAACTCCTGCAAAGAGATGGAGAATAAATAAATGTCTGGATAACTGCAGACTTGGTTCCCCACAAGACTGGTGATGTGAGTCATTAAACTGTAACCCTAGGGGCAAGTTGGCTCAGTCGTCCATCAACCCACTGTAGTTCATTATATTTATTAAGAAGTTCAAGGTAGGACCAGTTGCAATAATGCTAAATGAAAAAAAAAAAAAACCCACGAGGAATTCCTGTAGAATTATTCACATTAGCTTGAATGCCACCTTTGAGCACCATGCAAACTGGCTGTCCTTTGGGTTATTCCCCCCTAACCCCCCAAATGGAAGTGATGAGTAACCCCAAAGTTTTAAGCACAGGTCTGAGCATAACTGGCCTCCTGCAGAATTCACATCTGAAAAATGGAAGCCAGATTTACTGGGGGACACAAATGTAAGCCACAAATATTCTAGAGCATTTCCTTTCTCTTGACAGTGATGGTCTCTGAAGGCGTTTGAGCAGAAAAGGATAATTATTTTCTGCTCGCAGTAGTATGTGCTTTCCTTACACAGTAGTTTGGGTTCTGGTTAGGTAGGTAGAGCTGCCTAGAGGTGATATAGATCCCATATGAAATGCTGCCCCTCTTTCATGTGTGTAGGTGACACTATCTCCAAAGTACTCAGTTTCTCAACTGTATGATTCGGTTTGTACCCTCACTCTAGAAAGAAATGGACAATCGTGGTCAAAGAGAAATCCCTGGTGTCTAGAACAGCTTTCTGTGTTTCTTCCCCTCACCACCACCTTCACACACCCTCCCTCCCCCTTCCCCCCAAGCAGATAAATGTAAATCAAAATGATTTTTAGAAAAAAAGTATCAATTTGGATGCTTTTTGAAGGGAAGAGTTTAAAAACAAGTAATCTTGGACAGTATCCTCGCATTCTAGTTACATTGGCTAATCTGTTTTAAAAAGCTTAAGATATTAATTATGAAACATTTTGATGTTAGAAAATCTAAAAAAAAACAATCTTCAAGGGAAGCTCAAAACTTTGTCTTTTCATTGTAATTCATAATTTAAGTTGTTTTCCTCCCACAGCCAGACTTTTCCACAGCACTGAAATTCCTGTGCTGTGTCTGTAGTAGGCATTTGTAGAATAACAATATGAATGATTGATAAGTCTGGAGTCGGAAAGGTTTTTGAAACTCCAGAAAAGTACAACTCTGTTAGGTGATTAGGATGAACATTTCTTTTGAGTATTTGGAAATGTACGGTAATCCCACAGTGCTTCAGGAGAGCTACAGGACAAAAGTGCAGAGGTGTTGAACAGAGGGATTGCTCTGCTGCATTCGGTGAGGCATTCCTCTACTGGTCCTTGGTCCTCACGCTGGCTGCTTGGAGAGGTTTCAGAAAATGGATGCTGTAACCTGTTGTTTTAACACAAACTTCTTGCACTTCAGAGGCAACCTGTTCTTAAGGCAGCAGTGTAGTGTTGCCTTATCTGCTGCGAGTTAATCTGACAGTCCCTTATGTTTTTTGATGATTTACTTACACAGCTCATGAGAACATCTACTTGTAAGTTAGACAGGATTTTGTCTCTCTCTGCTTCTGGCCTCAATGATACCTTGTGGCAGCGAGTTCTGCAAGTTAATTTTAATTTGTACAGTATTTATTTCCATCAGTGTTACATTGTGTCACCTTTTTAGTTTCTCTAAATTAATTATCGTCTAATTAAAGCTCTGTTCTACTTCAAGTTGAAGCAAGGAGCAATTGATTGAAATTTAAGTGCTGCTGTTACTGTAATTCCATGCATTCTGATGCTTAAGCCCTGATCCTCTGAACTCTGGCAGCAGAGATCAGATAGCAAAGCACACAGTGGTTTTTCGCTTGCCCTTTTCTTACTGTTTAGCTGCTTTACAGGGAGTTAAAGGTAAGTGCAGTTAGTGGGGAACACAGCTGTGGAAAACTCAACTTTCCAAACGTTTTTTCCCTTGGTTTCAACTTGCTTCGAACTCTCACGGTGATGTGGTAACTCAGCCTCAAATCCATTTGCACGATGATTCATGGGGAGAGGATAGAGAAAGAAAGAGAGAAGTAAAGCCCAAGCTGTATTTTGATCTGGGGGAGGGCTAGAGCATAGTATCATTTAAACTGAGACAAACATGCTGGGTCTAGATGGGTAGATATTATCTACTATTTCATAAGGTAAATCCATATTACTCTTTCCCTTGACTCCTGCCCACATATTTCTGTCATCAGAGCTGGAACTGAATAATGTATAACCTAGGGAAAGAGAGCTAATAAAAATGCAATAGAATCAGGCCATGTAGAGCTTTAAAATGTTGGATTAATGGAGTATCTCCCTGCATGGTCTGGGTACAGCAAACTACACCTCTGAACATAACCCTCTTAAACTGGGTTTGGACACTGCAAATACCAGGTATGCTTAATATACTGAATCTTTTTGTTTTCCTTTTTTTTCCTGTCCTCTTGCTCTCTTCCTCTTTTTCCTGGCTTTAGGTAATATCCAGCACAGCAGCAACGCAGGCAAAGGAAAGAACTTCTCTGAAGCTTACCCAGCGGTACTCCAGCCTTTCCTGGTACAGAAAAGAAAGAAAGGCCTGGCTCATCCCAGCCTTCCTGCACACGTGAGGAATGCCGTACTTGCAGCTGCCCTCTTCCCAGAGTTCCTGAAGGAGCTGGCAGCTCTTGCCCAGGAACATTCCATTTTATGTTACAAAATACTGGGGGACTTTGAGGATTATTATTAGTGGGGTTTTAAAATGTGTTTTTTAAAAAAGCTTTTGGAGTTCAAACAAATTTTTAATGCAAAGCTGCTTACAAAAGAAGGTTGTACTTCAGTAATTCCTGAAAATACTTGATTTGGAGGGGGAAGGAGGAGACATAATGTTATTCCATGTTTTTTTATATTAGGCCTTATAATTTCCCTCTGTGCTATGTAACTTATTTCAGAGATTTCTGATACTGCTCCTACTGCAGGTCCCTACTTTATCTCCTCCTCTTTACCCAACCACCTTCTTTGGAGTAACTGAATCCTGTTGAATCTCTGCGATGGACACTTGTTGGTTGGCTACAAGAGGCAAACATTTTAGCTTTTTCTGTTCCAGAAATTCTCTTCTGGATAATTAGATCGAAGAAGTTTGGAAAAACACATATGCAAAATCTGCACAAAACCCCTTTATGCGAAGGGTTGTGCTGCTTCAAGTGTTTGCCTGTTCTTCCCTTTCTTTCCTTTTCCCCTGAAATGGGCTTCTTACCAATCCACATCTAAAGCCCTTTTTAACTAGAGGCTCTGGTTTGTTGAATTCAAGTGATCTTATGTGTGTTAAACCCATGACTAGCTGAAAGCAGGTGCTGGACCCTACACATACCATATTGCCTTATGTTACAGACAGATCTGCAGCTATCAGCTGTTGGTCTTTGAAGTCAAATGAACTGTGTAAGTGGATGTGGATTGCAGACTGCCTGGAATTCTCCTTGCAGTTTCTCAGCATTCTTTGATAACTACTGCATTGCTACCTAAACTCTCCAGCATGCCTTATTTAGTAAGATTTGCACAAAGTACAAAACAAAATATTTCTATGCAAGCTGTAATTAGTATGTAGTTTGGTTTTATGCTTATTTTAATAAGCTAAAGAAAGGTATTCAATATCTTTCAGTAGTATTAGAAGGACAGCAGGCTGGTTTTTGTCTTTTTTTAATGAAAAAGGTTGGCTTGCTTCTGAAAGCTGTTCTGTTTTATTGTTATGGTTTTAGTTAAGGGAAAGTTAAATACTGTTTGTTTACTTTTAATTTAGGTGTTGACTTTTCCTAATATTGCACTTTTGTGATGGTGAGGGGAGGACCAGACCATTCACCAGCTGTAGAAAAGAAAGGAGTAACAGGGAACGCTCTCTGCTGGTGACTAACTGCTTGAGAAAATTCTCTTCTGAGTAATGGGCTTCATTAGAAGAACCTAAACATGATGAATTGGTGTATCACCATGGCATTTTGTCTTAGCTTAGTAGCATAATTGTGCTTCCAGTGTGCTGTAGTTGGCTACGTAAAGAGGAACTTAGTTCAAGAAAGCCTTAAACCCCTTAGTCCAGGAAAGAAACTCACAGTGTCTCCAGGAAATCTGAAGAAACAGAAATAACACTGGCATATCTTAGTTCTCCTCCTCACTGTAATTACCCTGTAATGTGGGATCCTCCACTTAATCACATCCTGAATTCTGAAACATGCTTTCTCAGAGGTTGCAAGGGAAAAGAACACTTAAAAAACAAATGCGCTCCAGCAGAGTCTAATTAATTACAGTTAAATTCCTGTGGGATCTGCAGTACAATTTAAGCTCCTAAATCCTTTAGATGCTTCTGCAAAGTTCTACCTTGAATCTCCAGGCTGTGAGATGCATTCATTGTGTCAGACTGCTGTAGGCTATTCCAAGGAAAAAAATTAATCCCAAAGTGTACCTCTAACAAAATCCTCCAGATCTTCCCCGAGTCCATCTTCACTTGGTTGCTGTACAGTCTTCCTTCCACCATGGCCGGCGGTAATATTGCTTCCTAGTTGACTCTCTGCTTTGCTTTCACTTCTAACTTGTTTAGGCACCATTGCATCAGCATCCTGTAAATCACCTACTGGCCTCCACATAGCCTGTTTCACCTCACAAACTTCCTTGGAAGCTGACGCCAAGGCTCTGGGGTTTTATCACATCTTAGATGTCAAGGTTTGAGAGCGCTGTTTCTTTTTTCCCCTGCATTGTTGCTGTAAAAGGCTAAAGGACAAATTAAGGTTTGGTTTTGTTTTTTTCCTTAAAACTTGTCCTAGGCCATAGTGGGTTCTTTCCTTGCTCCCCCATTCCTGCTCCCACTATTAGCAGTAGCATCATCTTTTGTGCTGGACTCACAACGTTGTGTGTGGAAAGTGTTTTAGCTTTGTGGATGTGGGGTCAGTGCTTGCTCTGCTCCTTGCCTATTCAGGTAGGAGCAATAGACAAAGCACCAAGTAAATGTGACTTTTAGAGGTTCAGAAACAAGTGCTAAATTGCAGATGGAATCCAATCCTTTTTCTGAAGGACTTTTTTAAAAGGAATGAAAAAGAATTTTGATTTTCTTTTTTGTTAAGAGAGAGTTCTGCAGCGCCAAGCTCAAAGCAGGAAGGTTACAGTGTGAACACTCCCTTCCCTTGTTTTTATTCTAAAATAAGAATCTTTATTTGCTGGGCAGAAGGGATTTCGTTTGAGACTGTTAATTTTAACTGGTGCTTTCAACAAATGCACAAAGTCATGGCAGTTTCATCTCAGCAGGTCTGTTAAGCTACATGGGGATCTTAAAATGTGGACTGCTCAAAAAAGCATCTGTAAATTTGAGGGAAGTGGAGGATTTACCTCATAAGCTGCAGTAGAGCTTATGCTCTACATCCAGTAGGATAAATTCAGCCTTTGAAATCTGGAGCTGTGTGTAAGGCTTCTTGCTGAAAGGTCAGAACTGTGTTTATGTGCTGTGTCCCCTTGTGAATGGGAGATCTGTCTGTCAGCTCCCCACAAGGAAGAGGTGGGTGAGTGCAGTGACCCTGGCTCTGGGCTGGAAAAAAGGTGATCATAAGTGTAACTTCATGTACTTGGTTCCTGAGCAGGATCAGACCTGCAGCTAAGTCTACCCATAACATCCAGCACCCAGCAAAAATAAATGTTGTCAGGAATTGCATCTTCCTGTCTTCAGGAACCTGTGATTTAGCTTTAAAACGTTGGTCTTTTGAGATTAATCACCTCCGTGTGCACAAGTTCTTCAGCCAAATGCTTGTTTAATAAGCTTCTTCCCTCCAGTTAGATAATGTGTAATCCCATCTCGTACCAATGATACATCTTCTTCCAATAAGCCTCCATGATCCCAGCTGTGTATCAGCCAGTAGATCTCCATGGTGGACATGGTGTTACATTGCTCCTTCCAGGAGTGTGGAAATGCATGTGTGTGGCTAGAGCAGTCCCTCTTCAACACGTTGTCTCAGCATCAGTCGGAAGTGAGGTGTCTTGGTGTTGGCAGATCTATTCCAAAACCTGCAGGTGGTGGCTCAGTGATACCAAAGTTAATTTCCAATCTCCTGCTCGATGTTTCATACTGCGAATGCCACATTTCCAGTGATGTAGCCTTCGAGCGTGTTTTTAAGCTGTTCTGGTGCAGCAACAAATCCTTCCAGCAATCTTAACCTGCTATTCTGGATTGTTTTGTTTTTCAACCTGCCTAGAAAGGCAACACTTTGTTTTCTAACAGTTGTAGTTGTTCGCTTTTACCTTTGACCATGTTTGGATAACTTCTGGGTTAGTCTCAGCGCATAGACACACATGGGTTTTGTTAATTAGGCGTCTAGGCAATGACTAGGCAACTGTCATTCAAAACAGCTTCCCCTTTGCATGTGCTGATCTTTGGACAGGTTCAGTCAGCTGCAATTCATGTGCTGTGTTCTTGGCCCTGTTTACTGCCTCTTTATGGTTGTATTCTGGGCATTTTCCTTACAGTTGATCTTTTCCATGTGTGCCCTGGAGAAAACTCTGGTACTTCAAATGAGATCAAGTTGTTGGTGTTGCAGTTTTGGATGTCCTGGTTTGGATGTCCTTTTCTGTCCTGGGAACCTCTGACCTTGGTTTGGAAGAACATATGACAGCTTCTCTTCTCAGCTGTTTTCCGTGGAGATGAGAAAATTCCCAGTGGCAGGCACGGGCTGTCCCTCCACCAGTGCACCCAGGTACATTCTTCAGAGCATCCAGTTCATAAATGACTTAATTCCTCTTTCATTGGGGTTTGTCACTTTGTAAGAAGTCTGATGACTTCAGTGGTGTCATGGTGCCATACCTACCGAGTGTGTTTGCCTTTCAGATGTGATTTGATCTTTTTAATAAGGTGGGAGAAGACGCAGTGTGATGGGAGTGGATCTTGGATACCATCAGGGGCTATGCTTTGCAGTGGGAACAGATTGCCTGAGCAGCATTTCTGCCACCAGCGCCTCTCTAATTGCTCTTTGGCCTGGGCACAATGCCGAAGGGTCTGCTTACTCCTTCAGAGACAAACATTTGCAAACAAATGTACTGCATCATGCAGAGCCCAAGGATTTTGGTTCAAGAGGTTAAGTTCTATTTACCAAGAGAAGTGTACCATCTAGCACGGCGCGTACGCATTCACTACCCTTTTGTGCTCTCTGCTTAGGCCTCGCAGAAGGTTTCGTGCTTCAGGAAGGGTTTTTAGCTCCTCTAAGCGGCTCTAAATCCTCAGGGTTGGGAGGAAAAGGATGAGGGTTGTGCGATTTGGTGCAGTTAGATTATGTCCCCAGATCATTTGAATTTGTAGCCACAGCCCATTTGAGGGCAGCTTGATAAGCTCCCCTTAATAACCAATTTACTGTGTTGTATTTACTGAAACAGTTATGTCATGCCTCCAGTTTTTATGATGGCTCCTATTATACTTGTATCATTTAAACCATAGCTGTGGTTATGAGTAGGATACTGGGATTTTCTTCGTTCTCATCTTTTAGCTCTGGCTGTTGCTGCTGTGTCCAGACCTGATTTAGATAATTACAGTGTGTTCTTCCTTGCATCTTTTGAGCATTATCAGCAGGAACAGTGGGTACATGACACTTGGGCTGTGTATGGTAATGAGCAAACCAAAGGTAAAACACGGCAGATGAGCAGGGGGCACTTGCCTCTGTGTGAAACACAGCAAAAGCTTAACACTGGTGGTGCTCTCATTTATTGGGGACCAGAAAGAGTAAGCTCACAGGAAACTTGACAAATGAGTATGGCAATATCCTGTGGTAGCTGTCCTAGTGCGCAGCACTGCTACGTCATGGTTCAGGCCAGAACTGTGTGAAAGAGGGCAAAAATTGCTCCTTGTCAGACTTGTATAAATAGGTGTTTGGCTAAAGGAGGGTGGTGCCAGCTAACCGGCCACAGGCAGCCTCACAGAGTGCAGTGCTGTATCAGTGATTTTGCTGGAGGTGAAAGCCCAGCTCTGACTAAATGTACTTTATTTTTTTAGAGCCCCCCAGGTTTTCTAAACATGTTGTGGCCCAGCATCACTGTGCTTCATTTGTTATGTGCTCAGTTGGAAGCCTCTTATTTATGAATAGGAGCATTACTTGGATTCTCAAATATGTAGGTACTTAAAGTGGCAC